CGATACATTGTATGTCAAAGTCGTAGGGTCTGAGGTATAACACCCCCATGAAACTCCTTCCTCTTCGCCCCGCCGTTCTGCTTCGCCCCCGCCGTTCTGCTTCGCCCCCGCCGTTCTGCTTCGCCCCCGCCCCGTTCTGCTTCGCCCCCGCAAAAATCTGCTTCGCCCCCGTCGTTCCTCTACGCCCCCGGCGCAATTCTGCTTTGCCCCCGTCCTTCTGCTTAGCCCCCAATGGCGGCACAGCTCACAGTCGACACGAAAATCGTCTGCAAAATAACAATAAAGGCTGTGCCGCCAAATTTAAAGTAGCCCATGCTCCGGCAAACATTCTGGACCACCTTTCTGCCAAGTGGCGTTGCACAAATCCTTCTCATTCAAAAGTTTACCCCTTCCTCACGGCCCGTCAGTGGTTCTTACGTTTATAAGTACTGGTGGGAAATTTCACTCACGGCTGGACAGACGCTAGGCTGATCGCCATGGAAGGTGGGTACTAATTAAAGCCAACTTGGATAATGGCGGGATTTTGTATCAGCCAATTGAACAGTAACTAATCGTGTTTCTTTTGATACAAGTAGACAATAGTGAAAAAATGACAGCTATCAGTAATAGCGTTAAGTTAAAAATTGTGCTGCAAATACTAAGTAGAATTTATAAGGCAATACCTTGCTGTGTGAGACGAGACCCCTGACGGGCCGTGAGGTAGGGGTAAACTTTTGAATGGGAAGGATTTGTGCAACGCCACTTGGCAGAAAGGTGGTCCAGAATGTTTGTCGGAGCATGGGCTCCTTTAAATTTGGCGGCACAGCCTTTATTGTTATTTTGCAGACGATTTTCGTGTCGACTGTGAGCTGTGCCGCCATTGGGGGCTAAGCAGAAGGACGGGGGCAAAGCAGAATTGCGCCGGGGGCGTAGAGGAACGACGGGGGCGAAGCAGATTTTTTGCGGGGGCGAAGCAGAACGGGGCGGGGGCGAAGCAGAACGGCGGGGGCGAAGAGGAAGGAGTTTCATGGGGGTGAGTGTTGTTACCTGCCCTTACCGTCTCATGGGGGAGTATTTATACAATAAGTACATTTAGTACCTTGTCCCAATTGTATAGAAGAGTTGGGGAAAGTGACAGTATATTTCTTAGTATCTTTGTTTCATCAAAATATCCTCCAATGTCAGATGAAGCACACATCCTTGAGGAAGATCAGTTCAACTCAAAGCTGTGTGATCTGTTGCAATTAAGACACGCACTCTAGTTTTTATGCTATCTTCTGAGTCTTACATGCCCTGTATGCCAATAGACAGATTGTAGCCAAAACTAAGAACTTGGATACAACCAAAAACACCCCTTGCTGGTTGCCTTCTTCTATCACGCATAGACAAGAGCCTGAGAAACCCTTACTAACATTGAATCATTACTTTAGCAACATTGGAAAAAAGGTGGAAATTTTTTATCTTAAGTTTATATTCTGCTATATCTGTTAGTGCTAACGGCACCCAAAGCAATTTCATGGCAGCAAAACTGGATGCTCGGGTCATTCTTTTAATGTACAAAATGTAGTCAGTTGAATCAGTCCTATCCCATAGCATACTGATATCTGTGAGGCAAAAATGTGATGTCACTGATTGAAAACGGTTGCTGGTTTTGTATCATGGCTGGTTCTAGTTATTTATGGGCGGTACCCCAAAAAAGATGCACCAGGAAGCTTGTTTTAGTGCTGTTTCAAACACTTTGAGTATGAAATGATGACAAAAATGTGCCAAGAAATGGCAGTAAAACAGGTTTCCTCATCCTGAATATACTGATTTTTCCACCCTGAAATTGCATTGTATGCCTGTAATAGGAAGTCCCATACATCTGTGACACAACTTTCCTTTATTTCTCCATTGCAACAACACTTGATTTCATTTGACTCAAAATACATGTAGCTACACAGTATCACATTGTACAAGCTTTTTTAAATTTTGCCAGCCATAGTTAGATGGATCAACTTGTGCACACTTGGATAAAATGTAAGCAAGTTTGAACTAGGCACAAGAACCTCCCTTATTTAAAAGCATCAAAATTACATTGTACATCGTACTACTACTATCAATTTTGACCTGTTCCACTCAAGCAACCCATCATTGTGTCTTTCCTGGGAAATAGTCGTTAAAGTAGTATTATTATTAGTCATTGTTTAAGAGAAGAGTTGTCCATTTTTAGATGAAAGCCGTGCCACCACATGCAGAGGATAAATAAGTACTGTTTAGTACTATCCCTATCTTACAGAGCATGTCAAATGCAACATCTTATGAAATTCTTAGTTTATTTATTGTACTTTAGTGTAGACCTTCCTTATGACTGATTTTTTAGTCAATAGTTGTAGAAAGTTTTCTTTATGCTTGAGGCTGGTTGGTTCATGACAGTAACATGTATAAATAAATGTGTCATAGATTATTCCAGAGTCTTTGTTATCCTTTGTGTACAGTTCTTGTATAGTACCGGTAGTATCAGGGTATGCCTGAACACCACGACCAAGTCTACTCTGCAGTGTACACAAGGCAAGGAGCTTGTGTGAAGCTTCATTTTCTATTGATTAGGCCACACCAATTTAATTTGTTTCTTCTCTGATTTTTTCAGAAAAAATGTGAAGCGACAGGATGAAAAAATAAAAACAGGTCTAGGCATCCTATTATAGGCCCAGATGCAACGATAGGAGCCATGAAGTCAACACAAAATGGCTGGGTTAATATTTAAACAATGAATTTTGACATTTTAATCAAACCAATGCATTGATAGATGGACAAACTGTAACAACTAGGAAGAAAAGGACTCTCCTTAATGTTGGAGGCAAAATATAAGCATTTTTGAGCTGATTCATAATGACAATCTTTTTTTTTTGCAAATCAGAGAAGAAGAGGCGAATCCGAGAACCGACAAATTAAATTGGTGTGGCCTTATGATTAGAAAATGTTCTCTTAGTCATAAGTTTGCAGGATTTGGAGGTTGGAAATATTGATGTTACAATTTTTTGTTTAGGGACACCAAATTTTGGCACATTTGGCATTGAAATGTTTGTTTTCTTGGGGTTGGTATGGTATTAATAAAATACTAGTACAGTATATCCGCATCACCCTCGGTCCTAGTCCACACACGGGTCAGCTGGGACCTAGGGTGATATGGAATGTTGTACACATACAGTCTGTAGGTTACCTATCAGGGGTAGTCCATAAAGATGTGTGTGTGTGTGTGTGTGTACATCTCTATCTTGGACAGGGTTACATTGCAGCTTCAATGAATCAAAGCCATATAAAAGTATATATATAGCTTCTATACACATATGCTCCACATGAGCACACGTGAGTCAGTATTTTATACTCTTTTAAAACTGCAGAAACAAGACCCAAGATGAGTCCTTTATTTTCTGTGTGGTACCAGGGCCCTTCCAGCAACCATTTTCCGTCAGAATTTTTGCTCCCTAAGGGTCAATATACATTAGAATAGTGTGGATTTAAGTATGTATATACTGTGACTAGAATATTAGCCTTTCCAAGACCTAAAATCTGTATTGGATGCCTTTAAGACTTCAGGCTATGTTTGTGGTGTTCTGAATGGGGGCTTTCACACACCTCTAGGCTTGGACATTGACCATCCTACGAGAATACACTGTTTTGCATAACCGGTAAACCTAAAGTATCTTTCACACCAAACCTTTCACAGAGTAAAGAAACAACAGACAGTATTAAAAGTATTACTGTAACAGTTTATTCTCCTCGCATTCCATTACAACAAAAACAGAAATCTTCAATGAATAACGCAATGATGCAAAATTTCAAGATCAATGAGACAAATTGATATTTCAAAAAAAATGTTTCATGGAGATTTCTTAGTTATCCTACGGATAATCCTGAGAAGTCCTCCGAAGAAGCTGCTCTTTTTGTTGGGCTTCTGTTTCCTCTGCTTCCTCTGATCTGACGTCGACTTTCTCCAGAATTTCAGTTTTCTGACGATAGAATCTTTGCCGCTAGCCTTTATGTCCTTGGGGCCCTGGAGACTGTCCATCAAGTGGGCGCCCTGGATGCTGTCCATCGTGTCGGCGCCCTGGAGACTGTCCATCGTGTCGGCGCCCTGGAGACTGTCCATCGTGTCGGCGCCCTGGAGACTGTCCATCGTGTCGGCGCCCTGGAGACTGTCCATCGTGTCGGCGCCCAGGATGCTGTTGTTGGGCACCTTCAGGACATTGTTTAAAGAGCCGAACACATTTGGAATGGTCTGCTATAAGGGAGACAACGAAAATTAACTTAAAGACTCAAGTACTTATAGACAATATAGACAAAATGTGATCCAAGCTACGTCGATGACTGTTAGACATCAGGCTTATGAGATAAGTAGTAGATGCCACTTGAAACGGCCGACAGTTGTCCATCGTGCCGGCGCTTCAGTTCAATGAGTAACATTGAGTAACAATTTCATGGTGCAAAATGTGATCATTTCATTAAATTATTCGGCATCTCATATGAATACGTCCGAGGTTTGGGTTGCACAAAATTGTATTACAAACATAAAAAAAAGTTGCCATGTCGAAGAGTGAAATTAAGAACAGTCTATAAATTGAAATTGTTTTCTTACCTGACGATGGTCGTGAAACCATTCTCCATTCAGCTTTTGATACTTGTATTCATAGCTTCCTGGCGTGAGTTCCACTGTTACACACAATCCCTCTTTCCTGTAAAAACAACATGTTCTCCTCAGTACCGTCGCTACAAATGGCAAACACAATGACATGTCCATGCCCCATTGGGGCTAGATAGTAGGTTAGGCCACACCAATTTAATTTGTAGTTTCTCTGATTTTTTCAGAAAAAAATATGAAGCGACAGGGCAAAAAAAAAAACAGGCCAAGGCACCCCATGAAGGCCGGAAATGTTACAATATGAGCCATGAAGTGAACATACCAGGCTTTTTTTATAATTAAAAGAATAGATTTTGAACTTTTAATGAAACAAAATTGCATTGTTACATTGAAAAACTTGAACAACTAGGAAGAAAAGGACTTTCTTCAACCGTTGGGGCCAAATATGTCTTTCATTGAGTATTTTGCGGTTGATTTAGAACAATTTTTTTTTCTTTTTGCAAATCAGAAAAAAATGGACAGGCCTAATCCTAGAAACAACAAATTAAATTGTTGTGGCCTTAGATACAAAAAAAATAACAGGGAAAATATGCTATGTTTCATTTATACCTATGTTGAATATCTCCCCGAGGGATATAGCATATCAATAGGTTTGTTCATCAACGGCGAATGGGTGCAACGTTAGAATTTTAAATCAAAAGAACAGGCAGTAGTCTTACCTTTCCTCCAGCTTCCTCCCTTCCCTCCACAAATCCCAACTCCCATACACCCTGATGGGGCCTTGGAACACACCCGTCAACACCAAGTGTGTCAGCTTGGACACTTCCTCTGCCAGCAGAGTCTGTGAAGATAATATGTTGTGTTAGATTTCCGTAACGTATCATAGCCCTCCTGTCATTTCTTAAATCTGCATGGTGTAACATTAGGCCACACCAATTTAATTTGTTGTTACTCAATTTTTTTCAGAATAAAAATAATAATGGAGCGACAGGGCGTAAAAAAAATTGTGGTCAAGGCACCCCATGATAGCCGGAAATGTTACAATATGAGCCATGAAGTGAACATACCAGGCTGGTTTATAATGAAAACAATAGATTTTGAACTTTTAATGAAACAAAATTGCACTGTTACATTGAGAAACTTTAAAAACTAGGAAGAAAGGGACTTTCTTCAACCGTTGGCGCCAAAATGTCTTTCATTGAGCATTTTGCAGTTGATTTAGAACCCAAAAAAATTTATTATTATTTTTTTTGCAAATCTGGAACTAAAACTGGAAGTAAATTATAATCACACGAAGTTGTTTTGATTTTCGGTGCAAAAAGTGTTAACGCCCCTTTAATTTTATTTTATTAAGACTGGTCCCATCAATGTTAAAAATTGTCCCATCGAGGGTTTTATCATGTATCCCAGTAAGGAAAATTTCGCCAACGTCCAAATGCATCTAACGTGATAGTACGAGAACAAAGCATCACAACGTCAAAATTTCGATAAGTGTAGCATAGTTGAGAACGGGTATATCTACGATCGACCTCCGTGTATATATGTTAGAAATCGACAAGCTAATTTTTTATTGTTAGCAGAAAATGTCTGTACAAAAATATAGAATCGTAACTCACCTTGGAGAGAGAATCTCCGTAAGAGAATGTCGACTTTCCCTTGCGTTCCATCTTTAGCGATAAAAAGGCAAAATGATTAATAGATATTAAAATTTTTTTATAAAACGCTACGATGAATCGTATGACAAACCAGTAAAAACTGATAGTGAATGGCGATTTGCGCCGCCTTATATACCCACGGCTGACCTGGAGAACAAAGGATAGCGGTCAGGGCACTCCGACATGCCGCGATCCGATTGGCTGGCGCTTAATTACTTAGTTCTGATTGGTCAACCAGAGGGCAAAGAGGCCTACGTCTCCTGCGGGCAGGGCGCTCCGAGATGCCACGATCTGATTGGCTGGCGTCGATGTAATTGTTCACTTCTGATTGGTCAATACAACAATTTAAATCGGTCAGTGCACTCCGAGATCCAGCGCTGCTATTGGTTGATTTTCAGCGACACTGATTATCTGTCGGTGCCACATCTGCAAATGCTATTTGTGACGACACAAAACTTTGTTGTCAAATATTTTACCCATTGTTCTCTCAGGACATCCTTATTGGCTGAGAGAACAAAGGGTAAATTATTTGACAACAAAGGTTTTTTTTGTGACGTCACAAATAGTATTTCCTGAGCGCGTTTTGATCTTGGCATTAGACCCGTAGATACGAAGGAAAGTAACATATCTGGGCCTACGGGGCGAGTTAGGGTGTGCCTTTGTGAACAGATGACGCGTTCAGCACCAAGGACGGACTACACTGGCTGCACGGACGGTGTTGAACATTAAATGGTACAACAAATACGTCCCTTTTTGTAAAAGAACGGTCGTTTTTATCCCTTATCGCTGTGCAATATGCAACAACAGTTAACCAATGGCCAGATTTTTGTACAGACAAAAACAGTTATCGATAGCTTTACACAACTGGCTGACTGTTACTTTCCAACTCGTTGCTTGTATCGTAACATCAGAACGTTTAGCTTGTAGATGTAGTAGTGACGTAATCCGGACATGACGTAACCCTGGTGGTTATGGAACAAGTAACGTTATATCCGTAAATAATTTCATCAGGTAGGTAAACGAATGAATAGCAAAATTCTTCGGTCGCAACCATTTATTTTTCACCGCCTGTCATCTTCATCAGGGCAATTCTGACTGGTTTACTGTGCACTGAACAGCCTTCCTGATCTTCGTACGCGAGGACAAGCCATGATGATGGCACTGTGCACTGATACTAGATGTTACTTGGTGCATAGTGCACTAAAGATGTTACATAGTTCACGCAGTGCACTTTACTTGGTTCACAGTGCACTTTACGCTAGTTTTACTGGATCGTACCTCTCTACCGTGCTGTGCCACAGTCCGTTGTAGCCACTGATGGCATATACTAGTATACAGCCATCGAGCGCTGCGATGGAGACATAGGAGCACACCGATTTAATTTTATGGATGACATCCTCTGAAGACCCCCAAACTAGTGCGCGCGGGCGAATAAAAAAAATCCGGCCAAAAATAAAAATGCTACCAAACCACAGGAATACAAAGCTGGTATTGTGAATTTGCGGCAGTACCCGGCGTCGCAAATTTCCGTCTCGTAAACGGTCGTCGCCTTTCCGAACGGTCGTCGCCTTTTCTCAGAACGGTCGTCGCCTTTCGGAGCGGTCGTCGCCATTTCCGAGCGACCGAACTTCAGTTCCGAATATCCGCGGCATGTTCGGGACTTCCCGGAGTTCTTCGAATGTGTGAATCGCACTCAGTCCATAACATGGCGACCGAAGGCGGGCCAGAAAAGTAACTTGTCTCCTCAACTGCTGATTTTATAAGATCAGCATACGATCCTAGGCCTGGATCTTCTCCAGCCTATTCTTGTTTCCCTTCGCCAACAAACTGAAGAAGGGTTCATATAATGCCGTTTATACAAATGACAAATGAATCTTCAACCAAAAACAAACATAGATTCCGTCCCTGTGCTATATTTCTCAATCCCTGTGGTATGTATTCCTTTCGTTTATGTAAAATTCATGTAGGATTAATAAAGGACCTGCTGTTTTAGAAGGGGGACAATGTCTTACTTTGACAGGAGTTTTGACAAACTTGTAAAGCTATTTCCATCCCGAAATGTCTATGTTTTGTTACCTTGCTGAATGTTAATACTTGACACATTCACCACTGCACTGTATGTAAATACGACACATTCACTGGGTAGCACATCAATGCCATGCTGGTGACAAGTGTGAAATGGCCTGCTATGCTGGGCAAGCACTGAGACAACAAAATAAAACCCGGCTGTGGTGGAGTTGTGAGTCAGTCAGTCAGAGCATATGTCCTTGGTCAGAGTAAATGCCTGCATGTGTGATGGTGCTTCCGAATGAATGTTTCTGAGTCAGACCATCCTGCAGCATTCATAAATTACATGCTCGCACAATGGGCTGTTCCAAAAAATACATGTGGAGTTTTTCTCGCCCCCGTTTCAAATTCAGCAATGTATGAAAACCTACAAACGTTCTAGTTCAGAGGGGGGTTTTTTTTCAAATAATGTTTATTCGCATTTCAAAAGGAAACAAAGAAAAAAGGGAGAGGACATGTTCACATACAAGAAAAATAAATACCCAGAGACATTCGAGTTCAGAGTTACCCAAACCCTTCCCGTTCCAATCGAGAATTTCTCAAACACTAACCTAGTTCTAACCTAGATAATTCAACCCCCGGAACTTATAATTATAATACATGTACTAGCACCCACGCAACTTCAATCCACCTAGCCAAGTTCTGGCCCGTCTTCGGTCGCGATGTTATCTTCAGGAAGTGTGATTTCACACATTCAAAGAACTCGGGGAAGTCCCGAACATGTCGCGGATATTCGGAACTGAAGTTCGGTCGATCGGAAATGGCGACGACCGCTCCGAAAGGCGACGACCGTTCTGAAACAAGACTTTTGAAAAAAGTTTATCTCGGCCGCTGGCCATGTAGTTTTGTGTTCTTGGAGGATGTCCACATAGATTTGTGTAACTGCTAGAGAGGAAAGAATGTATTACCTAGTATGTTCATACCTGTAACACCAAACAGGGTAATAAGTTGGCTTCCATTTGCTTCAATGGAATTAGTGAAAAATATTAATCTCGAAGCAGATGTTGGGAGGGAAAATGTTTAGGTAGAGATACAGATTTTCATTTGTGATTGAAGATTTGAGAGACAGGAAAGAGTTTAGGATATGTATGTGGAGCTAATTTCTCTGTTAGAGTAGGTTACACAGCTCTATGTATGGGGAAGACATTTTTTGGAATCAGTAGTGTCATGTTGTATATTACAGAGGAACTATGTTTCATCTGTATGTTTCATTGAAATTGTAATGTCTGGACAATACTGATGAATAAAGAGCAAAGATGCATGTGTCAAAAGTGAAATGTTTTATTTTAGTATAACTTCATGAGACAACACAAAATGGAGTGGCTACAATAACAGAGCTGTCAAACGTTATCAAGCTTAATGCACTAACATATTGTTAGGTTGTACGAATTCATAAATTTTCACGGGGGGGGGCGGATAACGTAACTCTGTTTAAATCTGTTCAACAGCACGAATAAAACACAATGTAATTGATTGCCCTTGCCCGTAGTATATTTAGCTCCATTTTTATCCTATGGCTCTATGCCTAATACCCTTATAATTCCTGATATTTTGCTATTTTTGCTAAGTAAATACCTTACCAGCCTCATGCGTTACATCCGGGATCTTCGATATGGGAAATTCCATTCAGGCCACTAATCAAAAGCGACATCTTGCGACCGAGGAATATAGTGCACTTCCATAACCTTCGTCTTGACTTATTCAGATGTCTCAAGGTAATATTAAAACGTAATTTTTTAAACTTGGTTTATTGGTGCAATTGCAGCAGTTATTACCAAATCTTTATAACATTTAATGCATACTACTCTCATGTCCCTAATAAACATACCCCCCGGAATAAACATACCCCCCGGACAAATCTTCAAAGTCTAATATACATACCCTCCGGAATAAACGTACCCCCCGGAAAATGACCAAATTGACAGGTGAACGATACTAAAATGTGCTCTTTATTTCAATACCAATGTATGGGCAAATCTTTCACTGTTACTTTTGATTAGGAATATAAATATACTGTACTAGTACTCAACAAACAGTGTCGACATTACAGCCATATTACACCACTAGCAATAGGGGTGGGTACCTGTTCGGCTCTTCCAGGTCCAGAGGATCAGGTCCAGGTCCGGACCTGTACCTGTACCTGATTCTGAATACCGGAGTTTCAGTACCGAATTTTTTTTGCTAAATGATCATTGCTAAATACAATATAACGTTAAGTATATGTAACCACTACAATAATTTTCATTTTATTTTATTTTTTTATTTTTATTTATTTTTTATTTATTTTCATTTTATTTTTTATTCTGTTTTATTTTATTTCATTTAATTTTATTCTATTTTATCCGTTCTATGCATTATCAAACTTCTCCTCTACTGCTAGAGCTACTAAAAACTTCAGACCGAATATATTAAACATTTTAATTCGCCCCCTCTAGCGGTTTGGGCCAAATTGCAGCTTTCCAAAAAATCCAAGATGGCGGCGGCAGATCGGCGCGGCTCGGCGATTGCCGATTTCATTGTATTTTCCTTGGTCTTTTACGCGATTCAAGCAAAGAAAACAAGTTGACCACAAGAACAAAAAAGTAATACAGCACTGGGAATCTAATGGTCCGTTTTGTTGGGCGGTAATTTCTCATTTCAAGTGAATATTTACGTGCGTCACAGTGATTTATTCACCAATCAAAAGCGACATCTTGCGACTTAAGCAAATATGGAAGGTTAATGTACATAATTTATGTCATTGATTTATTGGTCCAATTACCGCAGCTATTAGCGAAATTCTAGAACCTTAAATGCATACTATGATATAAAACAATGGTTTTGTGGTAAACAGCATTTCCTCTTTTTTTAGCAACTTCGTTGTATAAGAATAACGACACTATCATCCGGTAGCTCGACCCCACAAAGTAAAGTATACACGCAGAGTAATTGGTTTCATTGGGTTTTTTTTCACGGTCGAAAACACGATCCAACGTACATATTTTGGAGCACAATACCTCGGCCGCTCAGGCGGCCGAGATAAAAAGGCGACGACCGTTCGGAAAGGCGACGACCGTTTACGAGACGGAAATTTGCCCCGGCGACGTACATCTACATCCTACATGTTAAGCCGGCACAAGCCGGCTTTTTGCGGAATTTATGAATCGGCACTGTACGTATGTACCGAGTTCTTGAGCCGTGGAACTTCGGCAGCCTTGGTGCAATCCTCCAGAGTTACCACCGGCTCCGTATCGTCGCTAACTACCATGGGCTACCCAGGCCTAGAGCCAGGCCAGGGCCTCGGAGGACGTGATTTTTTTTTTTTTTTTTGTGAGAACAGGCGAAAATCAATGCGCGCGCGGATGTCATCCATAAAATTAAATCGGTGTGGCCTAACAATGCATTTCCGAACGTAGTGCAATTGTGACATAGTTACTAGGCATTGTTACATCATACATAGGAACATGTTCCAAATGTAAAGACGGTCATCGAAACGTCGGTTCGTGAAAAATAAATGGTTGTGATCAAAGAACTTTGCTATTCAAGTAATGTTATGATAATACACATGGCTTGAGATTGTTAGGCTCACCAATGATCACCACCCGTCGCGAATGTTGGCGCATTGTGATCAGTACTAGTATACGCCCTGGGTGGGGGCAGCAGTGTATGATTACCGCCTCTGAGCTGTCATCTGTACGCCGTCTCCCTTCTGTGTAGGTACCATATCCACCAAACCCAGCTTCGATTCTGATTCTTCTCTTGTGATTGATATGAACCTCCTTCTACTGAAGACTAGCTTCAGCTAGCCAACTTTTTCAAACAAGAGAACGCACACTAAGAACGGAATCAGACGTTCGAATTTCGAACAGTCGATCCCGTTATTCTAATTTTGCCCCGGCAGCTAGGAGCGAGGTGTGAAATTTCAGTCCAGTTGCACACGCGTTTGACTACGTTTTGATACATTTTGCGTGGCGTCATAAATTTCGTTTCTTGGCATGAGCTACTTCATGACCCCAGCTACCACTTGCAATATGATAAGTGACATAAAAACTGTGAAGAGGATTTTGTTTCAATTACTGAGTTTTTGAAAACCGGAGAATTTGACGACAATCGGTTTCAAACTCCTGCGTTCGAAGGATGGAACCTAGGCGGCACGTTCTATTTTTCGCGCCGAGGGGGTAAGTTGTGAATGTTGCAACTTTACAAACAGCTCGCTGTTAGGCAAAGCTCATAAACGGAAGGCTCAAATCTTGCCGTCACAAATAGACATTCTGAAACCTTTCCAGATGAGACTTATGTCATAAAAAAGCCAGAAGACGTGGGGTTCGTGGCCGCACACACACACTTTTAAAAAATCGGCTAGAGGGGGGCGTTGTGACGTCATCGTCTAAACTTTAGCCTTGTTCACACGGAAACGCCTGAACCGCGATTCGGGTAAAAACCTTCCTGTTCCTCTCAATTATTTCTCAAGACTGCCGGCTACCAAGGTAACGCATGTTAATCTATTTATGAATGACGAATTTAAAATTCGTCAGGAATTAATGATATAACGTTACATCGAAACTTCACTGAATGAAATGAATCTTGAATTGCATGTTCATGCCCATGGGGCTAAATGCATACATCAGTGTGTGATGTTACATGTACATCATACTGAGTAACATGATACATAGGATACAAGGATAACAGAAGAACGTAACTACTAGACAATCTAGGACTTGAAGACTAAGACGGATCTCGTAACTGCGGCGATTCGACTGGCGCACCTGCGCATGTTCTGGAACTTCTTATTGTTTCTCGTCTTGGGCGGCGGGCATTATGACGGAACAAAGGAGTGTACGAGCAAACGCGTGGAGCTAACGTCAAGTGTACACGTACGTGTTCAAGCTGAGCTTGTCAGTTCGCTTTTCGACTCCTTTTTTTTTCGAAACTTAAGGCAAAATGGAAAGCAAGATAAGTGCAATGTCTTGCTCGCGAGTTGCCGCTGTGAAGCTGCTGAAATCGCCATCGTCTAAGGTAATGTCTTTCAGTTCAACGCAGGGCGTGAGCGAAACAAAGTTAGTGAAGTTCAAGACAGGGGACCATCAAAAGTCTGTGCTGAGTGACGCCCCGGAGGAAGGTACTGTTCCTCTCCCTCAGGCCGACACCCTCCCCAACTGCGTAATGACCACGGGAGAGGAGGGAAGCCTAGCCTCTACCAGGCTTGGGGAGGCGGCATGGGAACAGTAGAAATCGGCCAAATAAAGATAAGCATGCCAAGGGAGTTTGTCCGTTGAGAGAACATTTCGCCGCGGCTTGGCGCCTCCGGCCAAGCCTGGTAGAGGCTAGGGAAGCCAACAAGCGACCATGGCCGTCAGATGCAGCACGACGACTATTATGGTTGATCAGCCTGTCCAGAAGATCGTACTGTGTCGCAGGGTATGGAAGACCCTGAAGAAGAGTCTGGTGGTCCCTGCCTGCTATAGGCTGTGCAGACCTCGCCGAGACTAGTGTTAAAGAAAAGGGGCCGGCGAACCAAAGTAGCCTGGCAGGGTAGCGATGTTGGGGAGCGTACCGAAGCTTATAAATAATAAGGTTCGAGTCCAGGCTAGACCAGATGCTGGGAGATATAGACCCCACAACTGTACCTGACATGATGAAGGTAAGGCTCCGAATTTCTCCTACTATACTATCAAATCAGAATAATTGTTTCTCCTTCGTTTCGGCCCCTCAGTTCTCAGCTATATTGCTATAGATGTGTATAATGTTTCTGTTAAAAATTCCTGAAAAGCATATTAATTGCAGCCTTTTTTGGCGGAATATTGTTGATCGGCTTGATATTCTAAAATTAATGTAACAATGTATACAACACAGCTGAAAAGTTTTAACAGTAAGGCCACAGCAAGTAATTTCTATGGATGACATCAGCGCGCGCATTAATTTTCATCTGCTTTTGGGAAAAAATACAAATTTTGTTGCCCTCTGACAGTGGTCAATTTGCCGAAAATGGAAGATGTCTGTTGCCATGTCGGAACGTGAATGGCAGATAAATATGAAGAGAGGAGACAAGGCTCTGAAATTTAATGTTTTGTCTTTTACTGTGATGCATTGATATATTTCATTTCCTTTATATGTGATATAAAGGAATCAAAACCATTTGTACAATGATTGAAAACGTTTATTTCTCAAGGTCGTTGCAGCTACAAAAGGATGTTGTAATAGTTGGCAGTAAACATAGCACAATATAAGTATCACTTCTTGTTTAACAAGGTCTATTTTGTAAAAAAAAATTAAAATGTAGGAATCTTGTTTTTTGGCCTGCCTTGTTTTCTTTTGCCCGCTCGCATTAGATTTGGAGTCTGAGGATGATGTCATCCAAAAAAGTTTCTTGCTGTGGCCTTATCTATCATCAATAGTAGATGTAATTTCGAGATACAAAGATATTGTGACGAGTTTCAAACACTCTCCATACAATTTCACTGGAGGAAGAGGATGTACGAATGGTAGATTCGCGTTTCGAAAGTAACGTTACAGACGGTTTGTTTAAATGTCATTTTCCCATCCAAAGGCCTAACAAATACTAACTTTGGGCTAGGACCTCTGGGCTAGGACATAATAGACGCATATACATTTGTACTAGATACTAATGGCTGAAATCGTAAGAAAGGGGGAAAGAAGTTTGATCTAGGCCCGTTCGACTTCTAAATCTGGAATTTGTAGGTATGTCCTCTGCTTTTTTTGGGGGGGGGGGGGGGTGCACACTTGACGAAAACATCGATCTAATACTATCTACGACCAACTATCTGTCTATTGACAAAGTTGTACTGTTTTCAGCCGCTTCCCGAAGCCTGGTAGAGGCTATGTTGCTCCGTCTCAAAAATTCCATGTTTGGCGCCAAATTCCAACTGACCAACCAGCGCCGGCCAGGTCCCAGCATCCCAGCATGCTCCGCGTGCCACGTCGCAGTCGCCATTTTCCTTCCAAGTTGGCAGAGAGTCGCCTGCCGAGCTGTCTGTAAGAACCAGCCATGAACGTCTTCAGACTCGTAGGAGACCTCTCCCATCTACTGGCCATCATCATCCTGTTACTCAAGATATGGAAGACGAGGTCATGTGCAGGTGGGTGGCGCAAATTCGGACAGAAACGGGCCAGATCAGTTACGGAGTTCTCAATATAATTTTCCCCACTTGAACCAGTCTTGTGTATATTTACAAAAGTCAGTCGATTTTTGATGCCGGTATAGTATGGTATAGCATACCTTTGCAGGCGTAAGCGCTTTGTTTTGTTTTACCTGATGTGTCCTTGCGAAGTGGTGCAATCCTCGTCTTTTTCTGGAGGAATAAATCATAGTTCCGCGAGACAGATAAATTTGAAGCGATAAATATGGGACTTTTTTGGTGTCACTGTCAGTTTGGTTTACAAACCAAACATGTAGAATATAGAGCATAATTCAAGAATGTCGAATGGACCAGAACACTTCTTCGTACACCCAACCTCCTCTAGTTTTCACAGTCTCCCGTTCATATGTATTTGTGGTGCCCGAGTTAGTATCTGCACAGGCTGTAGCGGAGACACTCCGGATTCCTCTCCGGAAGTTTTCCCGCATAATTTCCAGACTTCAATTTTCAGGATGAAACCCAGCATATAGATATAAGTACATCAATCCGGACTGTGCGAAAATTAGTATCAATCCGGTCAACCTTTGCCGGGAATCTGTGAGGTTGTGTGTAGTTTTGGGAATTGGAAGAGGAATCGTCCTTCCTTCCATACAGTCTGCAGACCGTACATGTCACATGTGCCACGTAGTACAGGGTGACTGCTCAGCTGGCCCACACAGCCGTGGAATGGGTCCCATGTGTGTAGGGACAGCCTGGGTGTACTGTTACACTCACACACAAGGCTAAAAGTCTACTAGTAGCAGTAGTAGTAGTTGGATTTTCTTACTACAGTCTTGATAAGGTATCTGCAAACTAGAGTTCCACTACCCCCTTTCTTCATCTTTATGACTGAAGAGTATGAAAATGTTTCTAATTGATTATGTTAATGAGATCTTCATTTGCATAGATTATGAGTTGATCATATTCACCACCTATGACACTCATCTCAGATTTTAGCATTTCCTCATAGATTATGCAAATGAGGTCCTGATTTGAATATTGAGCTAGCTACAGTATCATCCTAAGCTCATGACCCCAACAAATCCAAATCATGATATCAAAACTGGAAGTTCTGTTGCAGTACCACAACAAGACCTTATGCTGGTAACTTTTCCTTGTATTTCTCAAAAATTCAAGAGATTTTTTAAGTTCATGTTGTATACCAAAAGATATGCAAATTAACCTAGTCCCAAGGGACCAAAAATCATAGGTTTTTCAAACAAAAATTTCAGCTTGCAGATCACACACTTACTCACTCACTATCTGTTGTTCTTTGTCTTCTTTGAGTTAGTGTTGAAATGTATTGTCTCTTGTATAAAAGTAACCTTACTGATGGTTTTATTTGCCTCAGGTGTGTCTGGCAAGAGTCAGATCCTGTTCTCGTTGGTGTTCATCACCCGTTACCTGGACCTGTTCACCAACTTCATCTCCGTCTACAACTCTGTCATGAAGATCATCTACCTGGTCACGTCGCTGGGCACCGTCTACCTGATGTACTTCAAGTTCAAGGCCACGTATGACAGCAATCACGACACCTTCCGGATCGAGTTCCTGGTGGTGCCTGTAGGAGGCCTGTCCTTCCTGGTCAACCATGACTTCACCCCGTTGGAGGTTTGTTTTAATTAATAAATGGTTTTTATTGTCCAAACAGTACCCGTGCAGTCGCAGCCTTTAACGGCTGAATTGTTGCAGGGTATCACATAATAATCAATACAAATCACAACAACAAATAATACACATGATAACACATATTTGCTCCACAAATTTTTTTTTAATGGAACTGTCGCAAGGGCCTGTGCGGCTGCCATTTGGCGCCACAAGGTTACCTCAATACGACTTTTCCCAACTGAAGTTAGGTACCCATTCACACCTGGGTTGGAGTAAGGAAAGTTGTTTAAAGTGTCTTTCACAAGGGCACAACGTCGGGCGCATGTCCAGACATGTCACGGGTACGTCACTCTGGATCGAACCCGGGTCTCCCTTCTTCATAGTCGAACGACCTACCACTACGCCACCGGACGCCACGCCAGTTGTAATATTCCACCAGCCTTTACTGTATTTCCTACAGACAGAAGACTGTTTACCTTCGCAGAAGGATGTTTTGCTTCGTTTCTTCTGTTTCAAACAAATAAGCTAAATGGCCTGGACCAGACATCTGTCACCATGGTAACTGGTGCTGTCGCACCCTGTGGTGTTGGGTTACATTATGTTGCATTGCAAGTTGCAGGACAGGGTTTGAGGGACTGGTCACCATGGCATATTAATTTGTTTGAGTAAGAATAAACAGAGCAGTAGTTTGATAGCTAGACCATGTGAAGTTTTAACATCATTATCTTATAATGCATTTTCTTTGCAAATGTTACCTCTCGAAATTTTTAGTCTACGACAAAGGATTTGTGTTGCTTTTTATCAGTACAGTACACTGGAAATGAATATGGAGAATGTAGGAGACACCTTAGTAAACCTTCTGTTCTGAACATAATGATGAAGTTTTTACTTCTTCATTGAATTTTGAAATGGGTGGTTGGCCCATTCAATTCTGATAAGTTGAATTTCAACGTGGCCCAGAATAAAAAAAAACATTAGAATAATCAGTACAACAAAGAAAAGAACATCTAATAGTTTCCCATCTAATAGTCATTATACTAATTTATAGTGAGTTGATTACTTCATTAGTGGAACACTTGCCACTGTCAATGGTGTGATAACATGAAGAGTTTACTATTTCTCTAGATCTTGTGGACTTTCTCGATCTACCTGGAGTCTGTGGCCATCCTGCCCCAACTCTTCATGATCAGTAAGACTGGGGAGGCTGAGACCATCACCAGCCACTACCTGTTTGCCCTGGGCTCCTACCGCGCCCTGTACATCGTCAACTGGGTCTACCGCTACTACACGGAGGGCTTCTTCGACCTGATCGCCATTGTTGCAGGATGTGTACAGACGATACTCTACTGCGACTTCTTCTACTTGTACATCACTAAAGGTATTTTTTATTTATTCACATATATTTATTGAGTATGAGGCAAAAAGCAGGAGTTGCTTATATGACACCTTCTACTCAAAAACATACAAGAAACATTTAAAACACATTGACAAGATACATGCATAATTACAAAGTGGATAAAACCAAGATAAATACAAACAAGACAAGTTGGCGATTTATCAAGTACGAGAATCTACCCATACGGTAAATGAAGTTTTGACTACATCAAAAACATTGTAAGTTTTGTAAGTGTGAGAGTGATGTGGACTGTAAGGAACACTAGAGGTAGGCTAGATGGCACAGCATGCTTTGAAGATTTTGGTTAAAACTTATGTCACTTCTTCCAGAGCGCAAAAACTATCTACAACTATGGTTTATTGTGCAAAATTCATGACCCTAGCATGTCCAGATTACGAGAAATCAAAACTGGAAGTTCCGCTGCAGTACCATAACAAGCTTCTAGGGAGCCCAAAATCTAATCATTTTGTATGTCTTATCAAGTCCTACCCATCTACCAATCTTCTTGTCAAACTTGTTATTGTGCTAAACCACATAACAGAAATGCCACCAAAATCATAACCTTCTGACAAAGGTAAAGACGAAGTAAACATTGTGTATTTGTTAGCAAATGTTTGCTGTATAATAATTCTTGTAGCATACCTCTGTAATTTTGCACCCGCTTTTAATTTGGATACTTAAACATGCACTTGCACAAACCTTGTTTCTGTCAGGAGCATACTTTTCCTAACGGTTGTCTTTCTTTGTTTTCCAGTGTTAAAAGGCAAGCAGCTAAAGCTCCCAGCATAAGTTATGGCAGCAGTACAGTCAGCAGGAAGAGAGCTTAGCTTACCTTTACAACATGTACACAACATTGTACAGATGTGTTTGAGCAAAGCACAACCATTCCATGTAAAAAACAGTGTGGTACATCGGTGACTAGATATGTAGATGCATACATCAAGATTATTGTTTGAAAGAATTCTGGAGGCAAGTATCTAGGATTAGTAGTAGAATCAGAACAAGGGATGGTGACTGTTTATGATACTTGATGACAAGTATATTTGGACTTGATATATAAATACTTACCGGCTACATCTTAACTTGGCTGATAAATCTTCAGCTTACAATGACAAATGTTGTGACAGGATGAGATGTAGAAAAGCTTTCAATGTTTTTCTACACTTCTCCTATCTGCTATTATACTTCATGTAGACCCAAGCAGTTTTAAAGGTATTGTGCACACTCTATTGTACTTTTTACAGCACTACTGTCTTCACACTTTGTAAAGGATGTAACAAAAGTTGTGCTATTTAAAAGCTTGGCATTTCATTGTTATATGCTATTTATGGATGAAATGTAGTACTGATAGTGTGCACACTCACCCACCCAGTGTAGTAAAGAAGTAACCATGCAGTTAAAATCAGAGATGGGAACATGTTCTCATTGAGAGGTAAGTTTTTTGTTGCTGGTAATTTAAAGGAAAGTTATGGTCTCTTCATACCTTGATACTCATGCTAATTTCAGGCTGAAATGTTAATATAAATGTGTTCTTTCTTCTCAAAGCAATCCATAGATTCCTGCTAACTGTCAGAGATGTAACCTAATTAGAAAGGAGCCTTAGGCCACACCAATTTAATTTGTTGGTTCTCGGATTTTTTCAGAAAAAATATGAAGCGACAGGGCGAAAAAAATAAAAATAAAAACAGGTCTAGGCATCCTATTATAGGCTTAAATGCTACGAAATGAGCCATGAAGTCAACACAAAAGGCTGGGTTAAAATCTAAACATTTGAATTTTGAACTTTTAATCAAACCACTGCAATGATAGATGGGAAAACTGTAACAACTAGGAAGAAAAGGACTTTCCTCAACTGTTGGGGGCAAAACATGAGCATTTTTCAGTTGATTCAGAACCAGAATCAATTTTTTTTTTTTTGCAAATCAGAAAAAAACGAAGAGGCGAATCCGAGAACCAACAAATTAAATTGGTGTGGCCTTAGTGTTATTTTTTCTTCTATTTGGTAAGAACAAGTTCAGTACCTACAAGATGATGGTCAGTAATGACAAGACGACGTAAATGTATGCAGGAAATGTTTTAGTTCTGTCTACATTCTGAACTGAGTCAACATGACTTACAAATATGTATACGGTCCAGATTGTTTATTTGTCAATGAGTGATAACTATCCCACAGGATAGCATTTTTGAACTACAAAATGATGAATGGAAAGTCCATGTAACTGGTGTTTTCTTGTATCTTCCTAATGGATAGGTACTGCTGTGCACGAACATATAACATGGAAGGGAGGGGTACACAAGTTAGCTTTGTAAATGGAAGGGGAAAGCAGGAAAGTTTGTTGTCTCGGGATGTTTCCTTTCACAGGAAGTATCAGGCTCTAGATTGAACTGTTAGAAATAGCTAAAACTGATAGTATTAGCAAGTTTGATGTACTAATTAGCAATTGTACATTGTTTTAACAGTGTACATACGCATCTTTGAGACAAGTTGGCTGGTTGTATGAGGAGCAATGACATGAACCGCTCAACTGGATGCCTCTTATCTTGTAGCATTATTGGAATAAGAAAGCTTTACTTACAGGACATCATAGTGAAAACCTGAACGTTATTTTACATTTATTTGAAGAGCCATGGTTTTGTAAAAAAAAGTAGGGTTTAAGAATGTTGAATGTGTTTTTGAATCACATCAATAAACATGAAACTTGTACAAACACACCACAGTACTGGGTAGTCAGGAGGCTGGAATTGTGCAGAATGGTGAGTTACTCAATAGTGTGTAGAGAATAAAAACTAGCGTATATGTAGATCACGACCTGTCTGTTTATTTTCTGCTTCCTTTTTAGTTTTTTTGTGCACGGAAGTAAGAAATAATAAACACTTTAACTACAATACCTTCAGGTGAAGTTGCCTTATTTATAAAATGTACAGTTAGTTATTGATGACTCATAACTCTCTCCTGCCTCCTATCACATTATTATGTCACAGTCTGTTTACCTGTTCTAAAGAACATTCTAGAATGGTCAGTTAAAGAATAACGATCATTTCAAGTTTTCAAAGTCAGGTGTGTTTGATTTTTGTTCGCATTACAGTCATACCGTAATGGGTGATTTAGTTGTGACATTAGACGAAAGTAGTACTGTATAAAGGCCTTATATTAAGGCTAACGTTTCACAAACACACCGCGCTACGCACCCCTGTACCCTGTACAATATAGACGTTGATTGACCGGCATTCATTGCGGTAAACAAACTGTCACGTTATAATGGTCCATTCGTCTGTAGTGCGACATAGCCTCGCCCTGGCAGGGCATGTTGTTTGTAGTAATGAACCAGCTGGTAGACTAGTACAGTGGCTTCCCACTGGGAGACATAGAGTGGGAAGACTATATCCATCGGCCCCACATACATGTACTACCAGGTTATTGTCCATACACAGGTTTTGCAGGGACTGCTCTAGTGTCCACCATGAAGGGTGGGTACTGGAGTGACTTCATCAAACGTATCTCACCGGATTAATCAGGAGACGTGATGATCGACAGTCATTTTTGAGAATAGGCACACGCAACCGAAAAAATTGGGTGCACAAAAAAAATATTAGGTGCACCATATAAGATAATATTTATTAAGTAGAATGCAAAAACTATTTCAAGAAAAGTACTATAACAATAATTGTATTGTTTTTTTAGATGTTAAGATTATGCTGTAACTACTATACATTTTACATCTTTACATACGTTAAACAAAAGAAAATATTTGGGTACACCCACAGAAAGAAAATTGGGTGCACAGCTCCAAATTTGGGTGCACTAAGGTGCACATGCACCCAGTATTTCCAGCCCTGATGTATAAATAAATTATGATGTTACATGTAGGACCATAGATTTGACTAAAATTACAAAGATAAAGTAGAAAAAAACAATTTATTAAAAAAAATTTCAATTAGAAAAACACTTCCCAGGTATGAGATAGGGGAATTCTTTTTACACAACCAAAGAGTCTCACCTCGCTGACGTTTCGGTGTCTGTCAGACACCTTCTTCAGAGCTTCTGACTGGAGTGTTCTCGCCGCAAAAGCGCCACCTACATCGGCTACATATAGCGGCGAGATGCAGTACTCCAGTCAGAAGCTCTGAAGAAGGTGTCTGACAGACACCGAAACGTCAGCGAGGTGAGACTCTTTGGTTGTGTAAAAAGAATTCCCCTATCTCTTAAGCTTTACCAACCTGATGAAGCTATTTTCGGAACTTCCCAGGTTTATGTTTGCTGGTTTCTGCTATGAGACCTGACATCGATGTACAGGGTTTGAAATACATGTACTTTTTTCTCAGGTATCACACTAGGTTAATACCGAGGTACAGTAGTATATTGAAAGTACATGATTCATAAGTCAGCACAATCAATCTTTGAATGAAAAAAAATTGATATTATTGCCATGATTCAGGTTTGTGTGGGACGAGGTTCAAAGTGATATACTGTACAATGTTGACAGCCACTCTGGAGAGTATAAATGTACTTACAATGATCATATGCTTAGTATATACATGTATCTGCATGACTAGCTCCAAGCACTTAGCCTTACACTAAAAAGTTTTCAGTCTGCACAATTGCAGAAGGACAAGTTATCCACTCCAATGTACCACCAAACAAAGTCCTTCCCTTTTGAAATGCTTCAGAGAAGTCATTATAAGGCAGTTCCATCTGTCTAGTCGGCCTGCATGTATCTTAACAACATGTGTTGCAGTTGGCTGATGTGGACTTGCTCCTACAGAAAACAGAAGTGAAGGAATGATGAGCACTACAAAGAAGACAACAGATGTTAAAGGCCTCCAATGCAATTTCAGGGCGGCAAAACTAGATTTTCAAAGTTAATTTTACCATTATTATGATAATTCTTTTAAAAGTTGAATCAAGCCTACCCCATATCATACTGATATCTGTCAGGCAAAAATGTGATGTCGCTGATAAAAAAAACAGTTGCTTGTATTATAGTCTGGTTCTAGATAATTATAGGCGGTACCCAAAAAATCACGTAGATGCCTCACGTAGCTTGTTTGGGGGCTATTTTAAATGCTTTAAGTATAAAATGATGATGAAATTACAGTCAAGAATGCCAAGAAATGACAATAAACGTCATTATCAGACAGATTTCCTCATCTAAAACATTTTTGTTTTGCCCTCAAAATCAAATTGCATTGGATGCCTTTAAGTTTAAACATACACAGATACCAAATATTTTTCCTCATCATAATGGCAAATGGTAAAGTAAGACAGTAATCAACATGCATATGCACATTGAGAAGATGGAATTTATTTGGACAGGCATTCTAGAGGCTTGCTACAGTTGTTCGTACTACATGTAGTTACCTTTATAGTTGTGTCTCTGTTCCTCACTAGGGTGATGCCAGTTTTAATGGTGTTTTCATTCACAGCCACAGAGAAAGGAACACCCATCTCATCATACCTGGTGATCAACCAAGTTAGAAAGTTATATCATGTAGGCCAACAGAGAAAAGAACAGTATCCAGTTTCAACTACAACTCTATTATGTTTAACTAGAGAAGTAACATTTGCAAAGCAAATGCATAATGTTTACCTTCGGACATGGTCTGCCCTGTCAATTTTTACTCAAAAACATTCAATAAATGAACTACTAGTACATGTATATGGTGACAGGAGCAGAGCAGACCATAAAATTGCAACATTATGTAACCCAACACCAGTCACCATGGTGACAGACGTCAACAAATCATGTCATTGGCCAGGTGAGAGGTTAGTGTTTCAAATTGGAACAGAAGAGGAAGAAACTGAGTAAAAACAATATTTTTTTTTCCTTCGGTAAACATTTAAAAAAATGTGGAAAGTCACAATATTTGAGACAGCACAGCTACAAATCAGTACTATTGAGAAGACATTAAATACTACACAATAATTATCACCCGAGGAACCAGCCCGACCGCGGGTCAGATCACCCAATTACAGGCCAGAGATCCCACCCACTGTTGGACTGGAACCAAGGGTGATGCGGAATATACTGTGTTGTAAATTCATTTATATCATACCTACCTGAGAAAGACACACATTTCAATAACAAATGTGCTAAAATTTGGTGTCCCTAAACAGCAATTCCAATGTCTGAATCCGGTATTAGAATTTTTGAAAGCGATGCACTCAGTGCAGGTAAAATGCGTTCAAATTATTCTTTGGAACTTTTGGAAGCCTGTGTGATAACCAAATAGAACCCTGTGTGATACAGCTAGTTATCACATGGGCTGGAACACCCATATCAAATGTTATTGCAGCCCGGGTATGATATATACTGTGTTAATGACATTTCATCCATTCGTTGCAGTTCAAGTGCCTCGTTTGCTACGCACAATGCTGGAGCCCTACCATGTATACTGCTGTTCATTGCTGTGTTGGGGGTCAGCACTGTACCAGCATGGTATACCAGCAGTCCGCAGGTCTCTGGCAATGTAGTCAGTAATCTGTGGAACAGTGACATTTTAAACATTTGGTAGACCCAGTTTTTGCTTGATATCCCAATGTGTAATGAGCCGCAAATAAAATTTTGAGTTGTATAAAATGTTTACCATCGGACATGGTCTGCTCTGTTAATTCTTACTCAAACACATTCACATACATGTACTACTAGTAAATGGTGACAGGAGCAGAGCAGACCATGAAATTGCAACATTGTGTAACCCAACACCAGTCACCATGGTGACAGACGTCAACAAATCATGTCATTGGTCAAGTCATAGGTCACTGGAGAAGAAGAAGAGGAAGAAACTGAGCAAAAACAATATGTTTTCCTTTGGTAAACATACATGTGGTAACAGGTTTGTCAAAGATTATAAATTGCCAAATGCATCATAAAAAATTTGTTCATTTGATCCTTTTATCTTTTCTTTGATAATACATTGTATTTCATATGGTTACCTCCCTGAGTTGTGATGCTGTACCTCGACCAGGCAGGACTGCAACCTTGTACGGTGCCAGTCTGCAGTGGAGTCTTAAAATCTACAAACAGAAGAACCTGTCAGGCAACTGTAATTATATATATCACAATGATGTATTGATTTACAATGCAAGAAGTGTATAATAATACATTTTGCTCATACCAACCATGCCCTACTATCCCTATGTATCTAGTCAAACCACCTTTAGCCTCCATAGCTAGCATGCCAAAAACTGGGGGTTTTGGGGGTCTTCGGGGTCTTTGGGAGCTTTCATGTGCTATTTTCTGATTACATATAGACAAGTAAGACAACATAGCCAGCCAGGTTGAATTACCCCCGTTTTTTACTACTGGGCTAATCAGAAAACAGCCGAAGACCACCAAACCCCCAGTTCTATAAGCCTGCTACTCACCTTCTGTTCCACGTCTGTGCGTGTGACCTGTGTCAGCCCGTCCAGTAGGTACACCAGACTCGCCCACTCCAGGTAAGTCTCCATCTCCAGCACATGTGGCACCACAAGCTTTCTGCCGTCTTTCCCCTGCCAGTAGGAACAAAGCTCATTTGTAACACCAACCATCCCTTCAACAGCAGGGCTCGAAATTCATTATTGGGAATAGGTGCACTGGTGCACCCAACCTAAAAGATTAGGTGCACAAAATTTTTTTGGGTGCACCATATAAAACAAAACCTAATTACAGATCTTACTGCTCCTCTTCTGAGCTTGAGTCTGAAATGGGAGCTAACTTCAAAATCTTAAACAAGTACTACGACAAAGATTTTATTATTTTTCTGACATTCAGATGCCAAGAATATCCTGTATACTATTATACATCTCATAAGTACAAAAATACCTACAAAAATATTAGGGTGCACTGGTGCAGCCACAGAACAAAATTGGGTGCACAGCTCCAATTTTGGGTGCACTAAGGTGCACATGCACCCAGTATTTCCAGCCCTAAACAGAATCAACTTAATGTTGTAGCTAATCTATTTCCATCATCTTAATTTTGACGTAACATAAAGTCGAGCAACGAATGCAACAATCCTAGGGGGGTCTGGGGGCAAGCTTGGCAGGAAATTTTGAAATCTTGCCCTGTTGTTTGAAATGCTATTTCCTGCATTTTGAGGGGCAAATTCTGCTGGTAGACTAAGCTTAGTTTAACGAAACCTCTTTCCATGTCTTTAAACCTTTTTGTCCATCAAAGATAATAGTTTTTTTTTACATTAAAAATTTTATATCTGTCACGAGCAGCAAAATTCTAGAACAGTTGGCTACAACAGTTTTTAAAATGATCCAAACTTCTCAAAGTCTGAGTGGTGCAGGTAAAATTTGTCTGGTGTAGGTAATTTTCAATGTAAGGCCATGTTGATTTGATTATATGGATGACATCCTCCGGAAGCCCCAAAACTGATGCGCGCGTGCGAATAAAAAAAAAGTTTTGCAAAAAAAAAAAAGTTGTATGAAATCTACGTGGTCATGAGGGTTGAGCAAATGGCACAGAATATGGTTTGGCGAATAATCTAGTCTTCAAGTTCATTTCTTTACAAGTTCGTCTTTTTTCGTTTGATTTTGGCATTCTACGACATTGGTATAGTTTTTATTAATTTTTTTGTAACTTATGGTATATTTTTGCTCATTTTGCAACTGTTTTGTACGATTTACAGTATGGTTGAAAACTTTTTTTTTTTGGAAACGGCCGAAAATTCATGCGCGCGCGGATGTCATCCATATAATCAAATCAAAATGGCCTAAGCTGCACCAATGCAGGTATGCAGAAAAAAGTATTCCTTTGTCTTGCTAGCATACCACAGATGTACATGTAACAAGCAGGAAAGACAGGAAAGTGATGAGCCTTACCTGACAAGACAGTCCTGTCTTCTTCTCTAGATCTAACAAGTCACTGTCATCCCTTAAGGTTATTCTTTCCACTGTGTCCACCCCCCATGGGAAGGCAAACTGAATGTTTACTGTAGGATACGTCATGTCTTCTGCATCAGATGTGTCTACTACTGTGAAGGATGAGGGGCTGCTGGCAAACTGTGGAAGAGCAGAAAGTATTGACTGAAACAAGGTACATGTAGTCAAATGCCAAAAACTTTTATAATATACATGTACAGAAATGGGCTTAGCAATAGACCTTCTACTTTTACGGATCACATAATTAACTGCTTACGTCACAGGCAATCATTTACGCGATGTCAGGAGGACCAAATAAAATAGCTATAGCACCTTGAGATCAGGTGTAAGTACAAATCACCTTAACTGGTTGTACATACTGCCACCATACAATGTTGGTATCTGGCTTTTTTTCTATCATTTCCAGAGATATTACCAAGAAAATAGACACCTGTCTTTTGCAATAGTGATCTGCCAGGGGGGACACCGCGAGTGCAAGCCACGTTCGACTTCCGCATTCTAGAACGGCGTTCTTTCGAAATGTCCCCCCTGTGATGTAATTTCTATTCAAAATGTCCCCCCCCCCTGTGACGTAAGCAGTTTATGCGATCCGTGAAAGTCGAATGGGTCTATTCAAGATTTGTCAGACATGGAATTAGTGTGAGTGGCAACAAAATTAGTCCATTTATCTGTTACTGAAGGGTGGCATTGTAGCATTATGGATCCAGTTTTGATTTGAAAATCATATGACAGTCATTGTAGTCTGTTAATGGCTATTTTTTTGCCGTATTCTTCTGCCGTATCCTGCTAGTAATAGTACAATAATATTTACCTTTCTCCACCACTGCATTCTTTGTCTTTGAAACAAATCAAACCAGGCACCAGACTTCTTAGGTGGGACAAAATACAGCATGGACATGGCTGTCATCTCTCTTGTACTGCACATAAAGGAACAGCAAAATACAGCATGGACATGGCTGTCATCTCTCTTGTACTGCACATAAAGGAACAGCAAAATACAGCATGGACATGGCTGTCATCTCTCTTGTACTACACATAAAGGAACAGCAAAAATACAGCATGGACATGGCTGTCATCTCTCTTGTACTGCACATGAAAAGGAACAGCAAAAATACAGCATGGACATGGCTGTCATCTCTCTTGTACTGCACATGAAAAGGAACAGCAAAAATATAGCATGGACATGGCTGTCATCTCTCTTGTACTACACATAAAGGAACAGCAAAAATACAGCATGGACATGGCTGCTATCTCTCTTGTACTGCACATGAAAAGGAACAGCAAAAATATAGCATGGACATGGCTGCTATCTCTCTTGTACTGCACATAAAAAGGAACAGCAAAATACAGCATGGACATGGCTGTCATCTCTCATGCACTACTTAAAGGAATAGCAAAATACGAGAATAGGAGAAGCTCCTGTCTGTCTGCACCTGTATAAAAACCTCTCCTCCTCAGCTGTCCTCCTGGGAAAACACCTGCCCACCTCTGCCAGACCAAAGGGAAGCTTGTTATTCAGCAGCTGTAGACTGGAGTGGTAGTGGGACAGGACACCTGGCAGAACACAGAAAAGCCAGCAATGGTTACCTTCATCCAGAAGGTTTTGTGTTAGGTACACTACTTGTGATTTTAATAATCTTAGATATTTTAAGCGAACCAATACAGCTTGCCAATTTGTACATGAGTCTGTCAATTCAGCCTGTTGGCTGCCATTGGACTTGTCTTTGATTTTAATAATAAACCAGTCTACTACTATAGTATAGGGGTTGGCAATTTTTTTTATATCGTCATGACTTGGAATATGGTACATGTATCTTCATGATATTTGGTAGGTACAAATGTAGGATGGGGTTGGGACAACAAAGGTCAAGGTCAAGTATGGGTAATCTAGCGGCTTTGGACAGTACTGCAAGATGAACTTGGGTGTGATGTCTTTGTGCCTTCATTTCAAATTGAAGACCGCAACAAGGTATCTTTGAACTATATGATTGTCACAGGACTTGGCTATACTATTAGAGTTTCTGGCCATGTCAATCTACTGCAAGGATGCATGTAACATTCAAAATGACCTGCATTGGACAAATTTTACCTCACAAGTACTACTCATTGTCTGTCCCATTCTGTCAACAGGGCTGGAAATACTGGGTGCATGTGCACCTTAGTGCAACCAAAAGTGGAGTTGTGCACTGGTGCACCCAAATATTTTTGTAGGAATTTTTAACATTAGAAATGTATAAAAGCATACCGGATATTCTTGGCATCTAAGTGTCAGAAAAATAATAAAATCTTTCTTGTAGTACTTGTTTAATATTTTGAAGTTAGCTCTCATTTTAGATTCAAGCTAACAAGAGGAGCAGTAATTAAGATCTGTAATTAGGTTTTGTTTCATATGGTGCACCCAAAAAACTTTTTGTGAACCTAATTTTTTAGGTTGGGTGCACCAGTGCACCTATTCCCAAAAATGAATTTCGAGCCCTGGTCAACCAAACATGCTATTCAACATTTCAAGGTACTCTTGACATCATACCATGTTGGAGATGCTGAGGTAAAGACTGGTGTCCTGTCTGCATGGTTTCTCCCACTGCCTCACCAGGTGTCCTAAATAAATTCATTTCTGTTAAAAGTAGTTACAGACAGTCATTTTCTAGTATCATTATCTAATAACCAAGTAGGTGGATTTGGATTGGATTACAGATCAAAGTGACTGTAAATCTTAAATAATTTTGTTACATATCTGTGTTAAATAATAATCTAAAATTAAGAGAACCCCTTCAAGCTCTTTGTGTTTCGCCAAAGGTAATATACTGGCCACAAAGATACACGCACACTGCCTGATCACATAATGTATGCCCCCAAATGTAATTGCCGTCTTGTAGATTATTTTCCTTGTTGTTTGATTTTGTTGGCATGACACATCTTCTCCCACTCCCCACACAGTGTTACAACATCATGGAGGTTTGTGTCCTATGGACTCTTGTTTAACAGTTAGTAGAACATTCATCAATCAGTGACAAACACGTGAAGGTAGCAAACACGTACCTCCAAATTTTTTACGTTCACTGTACATCTTGATCATGAAGTGCCATTCAAAACAGTCACTGATTGATGAATATTCTACTAAGGCCACAGCAGGTAAATTTTATGGATGACATCCTCCTCCAGAGTCCAAATCTAATGCGAGCGGGCAGAAAAAAAACAAGACGGGCCAAAGAAAAACAAGGTTCCTACATTTCAAAATTTTGACTCAATCATTATGTACAAATGGTTTTTATTCATCAGTAGGAACATCACATATACACAGACAGCATCACATATCACTGCATCAAAGTAAGAAACAAAACATTAAATTAGAGCCTTTTCTTGTCTCTTCTTTACATAGTTATCGGTCATCCACCTTCCGGCATGGCAACAGACATCTTTGCCCATTTTTGGCATGTTGACCACTGTCAGAAGACAACAAAATTTCTTTTTTTTCCCCAAATCAGGCAAAAATTGATGCGCGCCCTGATGTCATCCATAAATCTTACTTGCTGTGGCCTAACTGTTAATCTGTATGTTACTGATGAACCTCTTCAAGGACTCTGGGGCTGAATTGCGACTTACGGTAACATCAACTTAACCTACATGCACACAGGTAGAACACACAGCATTAGCTGCATTACACAATGTTAAAACCTACACACATGTAGAATGCACCAAACCTGTGTACGTCTGGTGCAGGCAAACTTTGCTGAATGGCATTCTCTATCCCAAACACATTGTCCTGTGTTGTTACTGTACTTTGCCACCTGAAATAAAGTAAAATACGTATTCAACACGATATCAAAAGCCATGGTTTCCCTCTGAAAATCTTCACACTACTATATTGACATTCCAATCAATTTTACTCAGTAGAAAAAAAAAATATTGTTACTTCTACTAGAAGTAACAATATTTTTTTATTATAATTTCCAACATGTAATCACAAGATGTGGTGACGGCACACTCAAGTTTTTCAAACTTATATTAATGCCGCCACCAACACAGGGGACAAGACAATACTCATTTTCACCTGAGCGAAGTGAGGAAAGTCGTGCTTTCCCAAGGGCACAAGATCGGTGGCATGTCAGGACTCGAACCCGGGACCTCTTGGTTCCGAGTCGAGCACTCTGCTGCTACGCCACAAGACCCCAAGTAACAATATTACACTGTATGTAGTATACTGGACAATGCACATGTATTTCACTTACTCAAAAATTTCTGCAAAAGTATTTCTGCAAAAATTTGTAACGAGTTGGGAAGATTTAAAGCACTGACCATTCTGCCTGCAGATTTCGTCTCAACTCTGCTCCCAGTGCTCCATAGTTGTACACAGTCTGTCCTGCTGTCCCTACAGCATACACATACCCATGGGTCTTACACAGGGTGGCAAGTCCCTCCAACACTGATGCTGCTGACTTGGGAGATACCATTGCACTGCTTCCCGGACTATAGAAAAGGTCTTATGATCCTGACCCTGCAAAGATAATCATTCATCAGTAATCATTAAAGAATGAGAAGGACTAACCAAAATTAACAACATAAATCAAAGATTTCAAACCCACTATATGCCGAGCAGAGGAATGAAGTGGAGACAAAGCGTTCACAGATGGATTTCAGGCTACAAACCCAAGTTTTTTTTTTCAAATGTGTTGTTTCACAGATAACCATGACTTTTTTCTGTAATGAGCATACAAGTCAAACCTGCCCAAAGTGACCACCCAGGGGACTGAAGAAAAGGAGTTACATGTATATCACAGGCCAGGAATGACACAAATATAGAATACAACACAGTGTACTCCATATCAACCCGTGGTATTACTGGGATCAGGACATTTTTCTGTAAGGCTGGTTTGTTGTTTCTTCTAGGACAATTTGCTGTCACTTCTGGGACAATTGGACACCACCCTTAGCAAAATCACAATGTAACAATACTGGTATGTGACAGCAAGCAACTGATCAGTTACTGACGGTGTCATTTCAGTCAAATTTCAGTAAAGCAGCTTAATTCTGACAAATGTAATGCAACTGACAGCATTGTCTGTCCAGACAATTTTAGTTCATGGGCTGCTACTATCACTGTTTGTTGCTGTAACTCTTGCCGCAATTTTGCATGTGATTACATTGTTAAACTCCTTCTAACTGTTTAATAAATTAACATAAATATAAGGGTCTGCCTAAATACCTCAACCGACCTCAACTGACCGCAACCGACCGCGTAATGGGTTAATATGCAGTATACATGGGCTAACAACCTTTTCTAATGCTCTGGATACATTGCCTATGCTTGTATGAATGAAATTTAAAAGCATGAAGGGATCGACATCCAACTATTGAAATAAATGATCTGTCTAGCCACCCCCCAAAGTTTGTTGGTTGGTTCCGCGGATCGTTCCACCTTGAGGTCAATGGAGGTCAAGCCGGTAGGCGTACGTGCTTAGCAGCTTGAATGTCAGGCTGGAAAACACTCGGTATATAGCTATTATGAGTTGGTTATGATAGTATTTGTGCTTTACTATGATTTATAAACCAACATCTTTGCGTTCTGTTGCCTGTATAAAGCAAAAAGTGTCCAGAGATTCCCCATGCGGGCCCAACGATGGTAGCCTGGGTGCCATCCAAATTTGTAACGGCTCCCCTGAAAAAATCGGGTCGGTTGCGGTCGGTTGAGGACGGTTGAGGTATTTAGACAAACCGTAAATATAATGGTGCAAGCTGAACACCGGTGTGTCTACTGTTATACGTCCACCTCAAGTGGTCACAAGAATTGATCTAGACTATACTTTTGTAGCATAAATTTAACAGGCAACTTTTAAATTATATAAAATTTCCGTGAGCTTCCTTCAAAGAAGACAAAAATCACTGTTCGTCATGAATACGGTACCCATTTACAATGTATCATGGTATTTATTTAGTGAGAAGGTAGAAAGTATTTGGGGTGTGTGGTAAACAAAATACATGAAGATGAACAGGATAAAATATTTTACAGACCGGTGAATCAGTTTGGAGGTAGCCTGGGTACCAGCCTGCTCTCAGGGCCAGTATACTAGTACTAGCCTGGGTACGAGACTGCTGCCAGGGCCAGTATACTAGCCTGGGTACCTGACTGCTGCTAGGGGCAGCATACTACTAGCCTGGGTGCCAGCCTGCTGCCAGGGCTAGTATGCTAGCCTGGGTACCAGACTGCTGCCAGGGCCAGTATACTAGCCTGGGTACCAGCCTGCTGCCAGGGCCAGTATACTAGCCTGGGTACCAGACTGCTGCCAGGGCCAGTATACATTTACATGTACTAGCCTGGGTACCAGCCTGCTGCCAGGGCCAGTATACTAGCCTGGGTACCAGACTGCTGCCAGGGCCAGTATACATTTACATGTACTAGCCTGGGTGCCAGCCTGCTGCCAGGGACAGTACTGTAGCCTGGGTACCAGCATGGAGTAGAACTCTTTTTCTACCTCCATGGTACCAGACTGATATCAGGGACACTTAAGGTCAACCTTGTTAACCTGCCCTCAATAAAATTTACGACAGACCCCCTCAGTACGCCCTGAGCTGTGAGAGAGAAAATACTATACACCCTGCAGCCCTGGGATATCTGCAGCCAACTCTGCATGATCTGGGATCGGGGCTTGTGGCTTCCCCGGCCGAAGGATAATTTGTCGTTTCGCGCCGGGGCCTGGCATCCAGGCTAGTTTGGAGGCGAAACGTCCTGAAACCGCCCCGCCCCCTGAGGAGACCTCAACAAGCATCAAATACGTCATATACCATAGAAATATGTCAGATACCTTCCTGGTGTCACTTTCAAAATGGCGCCAAATCGAAGTAAATTTGGAGTGTACCAATCGATCAGAAGGTGTCAAAAATCGAGTCATTCCGGAAATTAAGACAAGAATGAAATGAAAACAGACGAATACATTACTAATGATTTTATAATTGATACTTAATTTAAATCAAATAGTAACAAAATGAAGGTTAAGAAGACATTTGTACTGATTTGCGAATATTATGTAGTTCATATCCTCCCTCGATTTTCATCAGCGATAGTATGGTCCGGTTAATCTTTCACCTTTAACCCACGGGGAAGAGGCGACTATCTTAGGAATCTGGAGGGGTGTATGTATTTACAGGAGGTAAAGATGGACATTTCTACAACTCTGTATTTATCTTGAATCAAATTAGTATCATACTACCCAGTTTTCTATTTGAAAGACCCTCGAATTCTCATTTTTTTCCCGTTGTCTTCTTACATCTCTACACACTTTTCCCACCCAAACCCCCTCCCCTGCTCATATTGAAACAGCCCAATAGCGAACATCATATGTTTACACAAACAAAGGCCGAACGAAGGTTTGTAGTGTTTCTATGTTTCGTTTCTCTCTTTCCCTTCGGTTTTCCTTCAATTTTTTCAGTCACGTGTACTTTTTCTTCCTCCTGAGTTTTCCAAATCACTGGAAACCTTTATGTTTCCGCGATAATATACCTTCGCCAAGGTAATCATAATTTGTTTTGATAGCGTTTGTGTTTTCTTGTTAACGTTGTCCTTACTTGACATCTATTATTCGCTAGATGTGGTCTCTATGTACCAGGTTTCCCTTGGTTCAGTTCATCTACAATATAATCTGGTAAAGGGGAACATGTAGATCTTGACGAGACGTCGAAATGATTAGATTTTGGCCCAGGTGGCTTAGTAAGTTATGGTCCTGCAGTGGAACTTCCGGTTTTGATACATAATGTTGTTGTACACTCCTGTACAGTGCAAAGGTTAAGGTACAGGTACTACAGGTCCAAACTTGACAGAATCGTTTAAATAAAAACAGAACTAGGCGGCCTGATGACTATATATGTCTTACTCAAACAAAACAAAACAATGCTATATGCGGATAGTTTCTCGTTGTTGTGTACATGTACTTATGCTCCCTCTAGATATTGCTTTTGTCACCCCAGTGTCACATGAGGCCACTAGTAGGGTAGTATAAATTTGTATCGGTATACATGTAGTATTGGTACTTGTAGAATTGGTCAGTTAGTGATTCGGTATTTTTGACCTGTACCTAAATCAATTTTTGGAATACTGTACAAGTACACACTATGAGGACGCAGCCCTAATCTGGGATGCTTAGTGGTCATAGATTTTGGTCTGTTGGTCTCTAGGTTTTATCTCTATAAATGCAATCTCAGTGCTCACTCACTCACTCACTCACTCACTCACTCACTCACTCACTCACTCACTCACTCACTCACTCACTCACTCACTCACTCACTCACTCACTCACTCACTCACTCACTCACTCACTCACTCACTCACTCACTCACATGTTTGTGAAATGTTAAGGTGTATACCCTGCAGCTCCAGGACAGACTGAGTGAGTAAGAGGTGCACCATGCCAGGACTGGTGGTGTTTGGGCGACGTTGGGAGATCGCCAGTGATGATCTGCTGTTTCCTGGGGGACTGGAGATCTTCATCAGGGCCATCTGGTGAGAGTTGCTTCTGACAGATTTCTTTGAATACTGCTTACTTTGAGTATGATATAAAGATACATTATTCCAGTGTCCAGTCTTTGAATACTAGTTACTTTGAGTATGATCAGATAAGATACATTATTCTAATGTCTGGCCTATCGTGGTTGGGGCGAACTTAAGCTTGCTTCGTAGCTTTACACTTGTAGTAGTTTTCCCCTGCTCAGCTCAACTCAAGGCCACCAGGTAGGAGTTTGGGCCTGTAGGATCTTTGCACACCACTTTGAACCCCTGTTGTGTGTTGTAACGTACCAGAGAGTTTCTATAGTTGTGTCGGGAGTTGGGTGCCAAAGAATTCCTGTAGCCCATATGCATGAGTGCTTCTTACTCAGGCACTGGAGTTTTAGTTTTTACAATAAATTTATGTTCACAAGAATTCAGCATTTACAAATGTAGTAATCTTTGTTGAAATATTGACAAATGAATGTACCTTTTTGTTTCCACCAGGCTCCTGGCAATATCGATTGTCTACAATGAACACAGGGATGTGCTGAAATGTGCTGATGGTAACCTGCTGGCAGCATATCTTATAGGGGTTATCGTACAACTGTGTCTCATTATTGTCATCAATGCCTGGATAGTCCATGTCAGCATGCAAGGGACCATCACCAACTACAGGCCTAGAAAACAGATGCCGTCATTGCTGTATGTACGCTTCGCACTTTATATACCAGAGCTGGCCTGGGACATCATCGGGACATACTGGACATTCCGGGACCACGTGGGCTGTGACAGGGACGTGGTGGCCATCGTGGAGGGAGCGGTCATTTTCAGCTGGATTGTTCTGGTTCTCACGGCGGTTGGGATCGCGGTGATCTTTGACCCGTTGGGATCCAGGAACAGGTTTTCTTACTGGCCGGAGGAGCGGCCGGGGCTGGAGAGTGGCGAGACTGACCAGCTCATCACGTCTGCACGCTCCGCAGCAGCAAGGGTCTGGGAAAACAGGTCAGAACCAGTTCAAAGCAGATTATGCAAGGGGGCCCGCAAGCCCTATTCCGTACAGCGTAATAGGCCGTTTTAATTCTACATAGATCGTAGACGGACCGCTCTAATTCAACATAGAGCGTAATTGGCGCATTTTGCGTAGAGTGTATTGGCTGTTTTAATTCCACGTAATGCGTTGTAGCCACTTGGAATTTATCGTAAAGCGTAATCGAGAGGTTTCCGAATTCAGCATAGACCCCCCCTTGCAGGCCCTCATGCAACTGGTGCAATGGCCAAGTGGGTAGTGTGCTCGCCTTGCATTTGGTAGGTCGTGAATTCAATCACTGGCCGAGTTATACCAAAGACTTAAACAATGTACATACTGTTTTTTCTGCTTTAATAGCAGCATTTGGGAATGAGTATAGGTGTTGAACACACACCACTAAGTAGCCCCTTCCTGTAGTGATTGCACAATTGTGTAGCCCAAGGGCTCCTGAACCAGAGATGGGCGCTGCCCTATGCACCATCTGGCACGGGAATTTGAAGGACTTTAACTTTTAAAAGTATCCAATGCAATTTCAAGGCTGCAAAACAAAACAAAAAAAAATTAAAGAAATCTGTCTCTTACTGACATTCCCTTCCGTTGAATAAAGACACTCATTTTTACATAATCAGGGCAATTCTGACTGGTTCACATTGCACAGAAAAGGTGTCTGTATAGATGTCATAGCAACACCTGTGCTGTGTAATGTGACTCAGTCAGAATTGCCCTGAGGAAGGTGACAGACGGTCACCAAAATGTCAGCTGAATAAAAGACTTGGTTGTGTAAAATGACTCCCTTTATTCAGTAATTCACCAACCTGATGAAACTATTCACGGATTTACTGCCATTTTGTCATCATTTTATACTCAAAGCGTTTGAAACAAGCTACATGAAGTATGTGTTCATTTTTTGGTATGTAGGATCACTAGAACAGGCCTACGATATGAAATAAGCAAACCTTTTTTATCAGCAACATCACATTTTATTTCAGTATGCCATGAGATTGATTGAACAACACTTAACTACATTAAACAACAGCGCTCGAAATTCATTTTTGGGAATGGGTGTACTGGTGCACCCAACCTAAAAAAAATGGGTGCACAAAAAAATTTGGGGGTGCACCATATAATTATAAAACAAAACATAATTACAGATCTTAAGTGCTTTGCTTCTAAGCTTGTATCTGAAATGGGAGCTAACTTCAAAATCTTTTACTACAACAAAGGTTTTATCATTTTTCTGACGTTCAGATGCCAAGAATATCCTATTATACATTTAACATGTACAAAAATACCTACAAAAATATTTGGGTGCACCAGTGCACCCACAGAACAAAATTGGGTACACAGCTTCAATTTTGGGTGCACTAAGGTGCACATGCACCCAGTATTTCCAGCCCTGAACAGTGACCAGAAAATGAACATGTGCATGTCTTATATCCTCATGATGTGATATTTCCTGTTTCCACCAGATGTAAAGTGCTGTGCTGTTGTGCAGGTTTTGATGAACACAGTCAGAATGCCTTCAGTGATGTCGCACAGGTCATATCAGATTTCTTTCAGGTAAGTACATTTGTATTTTGCTATGGTTTGTTTTGCATTTCGTTCATTGAAATTCATTCATTCGCACATACAATATAATAACAGTGAAGTTGAAAGAATATTTGAAAAAAAAAGCATTAAAAATATGAGATTATGGGACCCTCAAGTTCACCTCATTGTCTGTGTCTGACCTTTTGACCTTCTGTCATTCTGCCTGTCAATCTTCTCCCTGCCCACATGCTGTCAACCTACTCAGTCTGGACAAACATACACACAAACCCAGTGGTCACAGCTCAACCCCCTAAAACAATATGTCCATATCTGAAAGTACATGTATTTTTGACAGACACTATTACTACAGTAGCTACAGTAACTATTACTACTATTACTACAAGATGTAGTACTACTACTACTACTTTGGTCATTAACATCCTTCTCTCCACCTTCCAGGATGTTGATTTGACCCCCAGTGACATTGCAGCAGGCTTGGCTCTCCTCCAACAAGAGCAGGACAGACACAGTATCACCAGAGACCCCATGTCCATAGTCACCACCCAGCCAAACCCCCAAGGGGACCCTCGGTTGGAGGATCTGGGACTAGTTGCCCACTACATGAAGTTTGCCATGGCAGCGTACGGCTGGCCCCTGTATGTCTACTCAAACCCCCTGACATCACTGTGTCAGCTCAGTACTGAATGCAGGTAGGTGGAAGATCAGGAATGATTATAGAGTACTACATGGTGTACCGTATATCACCAAAAGCCCCACTGCTGGTTGGATCGCCTGGCAACTGAAGCTCACTCACTCACTCACTCACTCACTCACTCACTCACTCACTCACTCACTCACTCACTCACTCACTCACTCACTCACTCACTCACTCACTCACACACACTCACACTCACCAACTCACTCACTGTACTCACTCACACTCTCACACTCACCAACTCACTCACTGTACTCACTCACTCACTGTACTCACTCACTCCCTCACTCACTCACTCACTCACTCACTCACTCACTCACACACACTCACACTCACCAACTCACTCACTGTACTCACTCACTCACACTCTCACACTCACCAACTCACTCACTGTACTCACTCACTCACTGTACTCACTCACTCACTCACACACACTCACTCACTCACTCACTCACACTCACTCACCAACTCACTCACTCACTGTACTCACTCACTCACTGTACTCACTCACTCACTGTACTCACTCACTCACTCACTCACTGTACTCACTCACACACTCACTCACATGCTCACTCACTCACTCACTCACTCACTCACTCACTCACTCACTCACTCACTCACTCACTCACTCACTCACTCACTCACTCACTCACTGGTTTATCATGTCTATTCTGAATTTTCACTTAACACATGTAAAATGTATGTGTTGGTCCAGGAATTATTGTATGGAACATTTGGAAATCAGTGTGATAACTGCTAGAATGTGTGATATGGTTAGTTATCACCTGTATTGACATTATTGTGGCCCTGGTATGACATAAAAACCTTTACCAGCTCTGCTAGGAGCTTACATTTTCAGTAGTATTTGGTGTGTGTCATTACTTGTGTCCCATCGTACATGATAACTCAAGAAGTTGTAGGGGGATTTTCTTCATACATGTACATGTATTTTTATGTGGTTTGGTGTTGGCGGCAACCAGCCCCAAATCAGGGATGCATTTACTACTAATTTAATTGAGATGTGTGCTTTAATCAGGAACTTATAGTATTGAAGAACATTCAAATTTGGTACAGTATCTGAACCTTGCCATTTGTTGCTATCATTCACAGCTGTTGCAGCTGCACATCTGGACAGGTGGAAGGTGGGGCACTGATCATGTCAGACAACTGCTGCAGGTGTAACCTGGCTGGGATCCTCCAGCACACAGGACTCATGGCCACAGATGTGGTCTATGCAACATTCCACAACAAGGTCTGCACTTGTTTTTTCTAAGATACTGACCTCCAAATATTCGATGACTATCAGTCCATTTTGTTCACGGAGTGGCCTAGTCTCGTGAGACACTAGGCCCGAGTCTTGGAGCTCCCCAAGACTTACTTGCCCTTGCTCCGGAGGGAGGCAATGGTAAGTAGAGAGTGGACTAGGCCACTCCATGAACAAGATGGACTGATAGTCATCGAAAATTTGGAGGTCAGTATCTTTATCCTTCAAACTTGTCACTGTTGGAAGAATCTTATAGTAACTGTATCTATTGTGTACATGACAAATGAATCTCTTCAACAATAATTTATACAAAATGTCCTTTAATGTCCTACCAGAGGGATGTCCCTAACTGAGGATAGGGACATCCCTTATTTTTACCTATCAGTAAGTGAAGTGAGGAAAGTCCTGGGATGATCATCATCAATTCTAACCCTAATACACCTACCCCTCAGGTTGTTGAGAAAAGCAGACTTAGGGAGTGGTGTATGTTGTTGCACAGCGGCCTACTAGTAGAGGGTTTGCATATCTTGTGGCACAGGGGATAGTGGGGAGGGAGCTAGTTATCACTCGCCTGTGTGGGCACAAGCTCTCCTCCCACTACATTGTACCTCACCAGTCAGGTTCCCAGGGTAAAAGAGGCCATACAGAGACCATACATTATGTAGTCATAATAACTTCATTTATTGCTTGCATTTCTTGCAGGTTTATGAGATCCCGTTTTTTGTTGCCCTGGACCATGACAGGAGATCAGTAGTTGTGGCAGTCCGAGGGACCCTCTCTCTCAGGGTAGGTTCTGTTTACATGGAGTAAGTATGGCAGGTGATGAGATTCCCAGATCCAGTCCCAGGGGTGCCAGAGTATACAGTGCAAGTTTACGGAATACAGTGCAAGTTTACTAGTATACAGTGCAAGTTTACGGAATACAGTGCAAGTTTACTAGTATACAGTGCAAGTTTACAGAATACAGTGCAATTTTACTAGTATACAGTGCAAGTTTACGGAATACAGTGCAAGTTTACTAGTATACAGTGCAAGTTTACGGAGTACAGTGCAATTTTACTAGACTAAGTATACAGTGCAAGTTTACGGAATACAGTACAATTTTACTAGACATACAGTGCAATTTTACGGAATACAGTGCAGTCTTATTAGAATACAGTTCAATTTTACGGAATACAGTGCAATTTTACGGAATACAGTGCAATTTTACTAGTGACATTAAATCACATGACTTAAACACTGCTTTCCCTTGAGTTTCAAGATGGTGGATGGCGCTGAATCACATATTTCTGTCTTTTTCGAGCAAATTTAAACTTATCCCTGTGCAGTAACATGCCCTGTGTGTAGTATGTAGTGATTTGACTAAAGGTCTATCTACGAGAACGGTCAAAATTCGCTCAAAAAACAAGAGTACGCTCCATCAGCGGCATCCCGGAAAACTGGGTCCAGGTTACGTCATTCAACGTGACTAGTAAACTTGCACTGTATTCCGTAAAATTGCACTGTATACTAATACGATTGCACTGTATTCCATAAACTTGCACTGCATACTAGTAAACTTGCACTGTATTCCATAAAATTGCACTGTATACTCTGGCACCCCTGAGTCCAGGGTTCAAAATACCCACTCCCACACGCTTGCCACACAAGTCATTACTTACTGGACATGCTAGGTTGCCCAACGCACATTTTTTTGACGTACAAAGTGACAATTTTAATTAAACTGTGTCCTGCCTTGGCCAGAATGTGAGCAATGTGGCCAGGCTTACCGATTGCCTTCTAAAATTAAAAAGCCTGGGTGTTGACAGCAACTTGAAATTTTGATGGTTACTCTTGGCTAACTTTGGGATGAGGTTGACCAGTTGGCCACCTGAGAAAAATAAGTATTTTTAATCCTGCAGTCTAAGATCTGAAGGACTAGTGTACAGTAACTTAAAGTTTGTTATCCAGAGGTTGGAGCCTTGAGGTATTTTTCTGTGAATGTTAGGATACAAATGCAGAATTCCTTAAAATGCTGGGAAACAAAGTACAGAAATGGGGGCCCGCAAGCCCTTTTCCATGGAGCGTAATCGGCCGTTTTAATTCTACGTAGAGTGTAGACGGACCCCTCTAATTCAACGCATTTAGCGTACAGTGTAATCCGCCGTTTTAATTCTCCTTAATGCATTGTAGCTATCGGGAATTAACCGTAAAGCGTAATCGATTAATTGTGCGTAGAGCATAATCCAAGCCACAAACAAGAACTCGAGGCCTCGCAAGTGCTCTGATTTTTTTTCTGAAATCCTCTCAAAAATGCACGAAATGCCATTTTAGAAGGTTCATTTTTCAAAATTTTCCGGGGGAGCATACCCCCAGACCCCCCTAGGAACCTCGCGCCTTCGGCGCTCGCTGGTCCCTGAAGAAGTGGGAAGAACCCCCCCCACACACACAAAATCCTGGCTACGGGCATGCTCAGGCGCAGCTTGATCTGGAGTTGGATCTTCTGAAGAGCGCTAAAAGTGAACTTCTGTGTTCGGAATCTTTCGAATTTAGCGTAGAGCGTAGAGAGCCTTCTTGAATTCAGCGTAATACGTAGCCGGCTCTTAGAATTTAGCGTAGAGCGTTGTCAGGACCCCCCTTGCAGGCCCCCAGAAATGTTGTAGTAGAACTGAATTGTGGTGCTGAAGTACATGTTATGCTGTTGTTAACTGCAGGATGCCTTGACTGACTTGTCTGCAGAGAGTGAGACCATTGATATAGAAGGGGTGGACGGAACCTTTGCTCACAAGGTAATACAGCATGTACAGCACTAGCATACATGTATGGGGGAGGGGGCATTGTCCCCTAAAAATAATGTTGGGGGGGGGAGGTGAGTATAATAATGGTGAGTAGATGGTAATTGTCAAGGAAAGGAAATTAAAAGACGGACTTAGCTGCAGAATTTGTGTTTCAAAATCACTAAAAATGCCGGCCTGAACATTTCAAAGAGTTAAGATGTCAACTTGCCCCCCAACAAAATCAAGTAAATTCATTTCTGTAATTCATCTTTTATTGAAAGTATGATACTACATTTTTAAGTAGAATATGTCAATGTCATTAATACTATGTAACTGACCTGTGTACTGCAGTACCACCTAGCAGGATATAACTAAAGTGCAGTTACCTTTATGCATCCCCCTATTTCCCTCAGATAATATTTTTGTCACCAGAATATCTCTTCCTTGTTGATCTAGGGAATCCTGCAGGCAGCCAGCTTCATCCACAAAAAGTTAGAGGAGGAAAATATCCTTGCCAATGCTTTCTGGAAGGTGCCGGTAAGTACAGAATTGGGAAGTTTCATTGTAACATTGAAAAGAACCTCACAATTCAATGTGTTCTAGCCAATGTCTATCTTTCCATCGTTAGACAAAATTTTTACGCTCACACAAAAATGGCGGAAGAAAATTTCAGGCAAGAACACTGGTGCAAAATAGTTATTCCATCACCTTTGTATTTTGCTGTCTGTAGCAAAATTGGAAGCCTATTAGTAACCTTATGAAGTTCTGGTTCTTTCGCAGCAGGGAATGTTTAAAACTGTATGATACAGAGTAACTAAAAGTCAAATCAACCCTACTCCATTGCCATTCAGGAAGTGGAGGTACCAAAATATGATGCCCTACAATTGTGTTCAAATGCTGGAAACACAGCTGTCAGCCATGTTTGTTTACGTTCTGGTATTTTGTGGTGGTACCACAAACTGAGTGTGCCTCGTGTGGACTGTTTTAGCACCAATCATAAATGTAAGAAATGTGAGATAATTGCACAAATGTGTTGAAATTAGCACAAGCAAATTACAACCAGATTTTTTCAATAAAAATATTTCAATTTTTGCTGTAAGATTGTTCCATCATGTCTTGTGTTGTAGGACTACAGCTTGGTTGTGGTAGGACACAGTCTGGGAGCAGGTGCTGCCTCTCTGCTGTCCATCCTGCTCAGACCTGCTTATCCCAGGCTCTTCTGTTATGCTTACTCACCCCCTGGGGGACTCATGAGGTAAGAGAAAGTAGCTTTATTAGTGACAATGACAATGAACTTTGTTGCATATCTATGCCCAACAGGGATAAATGCTGTATGTAATCATTCTAATTTTGAACTGTAATTTTCAACACAAAAACTTTTGACTGTACAACTCCAGTCTTTGTTAAAGGCATCCAATGCGATTTCAGGGAAGCAAAACTGGAAATATTCTGAATAAGGCAATCTTTGTGATATTGACACATACTGCTTCACATTAGCACATTTGAGTCAGTATTTCATACCTTGGGTATTTAAAACTGCAGAAACAAGCTCCAAGATGAGCCTTTATTTTCTGGGTGTAACCCTGTAAAATTTGGCCATGGCCCTTCCAGTAACCATTTTCTATCAATATTGAGTAAATTTTTGCTTCATAGGGGTCAATATACATTGGGACAGTGTGGTTCCAACTCACTATGTAGATAAATGACTAGAATATTGGTGTTGAAAAATCGGGTTTCCATGCCCTAAAAACTCCATCGGACGTCCTTAAGAAATGAGCCATCCGCCACTTCTGTGATGCCACTTTATGCAGATGACACACGTGTCTCGGTGAGCAGTGGATTATAGATTGCAGAAAGTATGTGGCGCCCCCCGTTTGTGTTCATGGATGGTTGCAATGCCCTGATGTACACATCATGTAGATGGCCTCTTTTATACCTTGTGCAGAAAGTCAGGTTCTGTGGCCAAGATTTTTACTTCATCCAATGAGACCAAGTGTCCAGGTGAATCCATATGCATGTATGGTGAAACATCTGAAGTCAAGCTAGGTTATCTTGAAAGTTCATCTGTGTCGGTAGAAATCATTATGAAGCAAGTTTAAACTGTAATTTCCAACACAATAAATTGGACTCACCCAAATTTTCGACTGTACAACTCAGTCTTTGTCAAGGAATGAGCAATCCACCGCTTCCATCTACATCAGGGCACCACAACCATCCCTCAACAGAGACGGGGGCGCCACAGACTTTCTGCAACCTATGATCCACTGCTCACGGAGTCACATGTGTTATCTGCGTGACGTCACGGAAGCGGTGGATTGTTCATTCCTTGACAAAGACTGGTAGCCTGGGTTCCATCCTGGTTAATTTACGTCCACTCCCACAGTCGAGCGGACGTAAACTAAACAGGATGGAACCCAGGCTAAAAGACTGGAGTTGTACACTCAGTCAAAAATTTGGGTGATTCCAATTTATTGTGCTGCATATTACAGTTTAAACTTGCTTCAAGCTAGGTTGTTTGTGTTCTAGGAACCTACATGTAGTAGCCTTTAGTGACCTTTAGGTCTCCCCGATATACATTCCTTACTAGTACCTGGGCCCTTAAGAGTTCTGACCTTGGCACTGTATTTTGTTTTCCTTGTAGTAAGTCTACAGCAGAGTACACCAAGAACTTCACCTGTTCTGTAGTACTTGGGAAAGACTTGGTCCCCAGACTTGGCATCTCCACTATGGAAGACCTCAAGTCTAAACTCATCACTGCAATAAACAGCAGTGATCAGCCCAAGGTAGGGTTAACTTCATGGTATGTATCTGTATAGCCGGTATAACCGCCCTTCTGTGTAACACACCAGCTTTGCAGGCACATGACGCGGCGGCAGCTGGCTACATTACACCGAACGATTTGTTACGCCTAGCCCTTGAACCTTGAACATCTAGCTCTAACCCTATTTTAAAGCTTTCTAATGATAATGCCCCTACTGTACTTGGTGACAGTGAGTTCCACTCTGCGATAGTTCTAGGAAAGAATGAAGTTTTGAGCACCTCAATCCTTGGTTGCTAACTCTGGTACTTGAAGGCATGGTCTGAATGTAGAACTTCAGCTTGACCTGAATGTAGAACTTCAGTGAGAAATGAAGAACTGTGTGTATTTTGCACTTATTGTGTAACAGAAACTTTTGTGCCATGGCATTGGCTTGGTTTGGTTTTTGTTTTTTCTTTTAATGCCCATGGTCGTGATAATGAACACCTGAGCAAAGTGTTCTGTCATGTAAAGTGCCTTGCCCAAGGGCACAAGGTTGGTGACATGACAGGATTCGAACCTGGGACCTCTTGGTTCTGAGCCAAATTCTCTGCCATTACACCACACAACACCATATTGCCCCAGGTGTGCCAGGCTGTTTCATATAGAATGAAACAAGGTGTATTCTGTATCACCCAAGGTACCAGACTGACCTGCAGTTCTGATTGAAAAGATATAGATATAGTTTGATTTAAGATCATTGAATCCTTGCAAGCAGAATGTCCTGATGTTTGTTTTCTTGTTGCTGTAGTACAAGATCCTTGTAGGTGGTGTGTGGTATACGCTGTGTGGCAGTGCAGACCAAGCCACACCTTCATCCACCACTGCCTCATCACCAAACTTAAGCCAGCCTCTATTGGACGAAATCACCAGCATGCCTCCTGGAGCTGCTTACACTAGCCAACCAGATGACAGCTCACTAAGACGACAGGGAGAAGCTACCCAAAGCCAAGTGGCCCCACTGTACCCACCTGGTCACATCATTCACATTGTAGAAGTTGAGCCTGCAAGGTACACATACATTGTACTTGTACAGTACTAGTATGCTTCTTTTCCCCTTATTTCCTGAAAGGATCATATTTTTTTTAACAGTAGAGTCTTTTAACAGTATTTTTTTTACTAAAAAGCACTGTATGGCAGTTTTGAGCACTAAATGAGGTTTTGATGAATTACATTGGGGTTTTAAGAACACATGCCACTTCAAAGCACTTTATAGGGGTTTCAAGAATATTTCTACTGAAATTTGCTGTATGGGGGTTTCAAGAACAGTTGTTAGTAAGAAGCACTTTATGGGGTATTGGGCACTACATGTACAATGTACATGGGGGTCTTGAAACAGTTGATACTGGACATCACTACATGTACATGGAAAGGGTTAATATGGAACAGTCCATTTTTGAACAGGGAGTAAAATATGCTGTATTTCCTCCCGAGCAAGTCTCGGCTTTTCTAGTTTAGGGTTTTAAAACTTCAGTAATGTACATGTATGTGCATTTCTTAAACAGTGCTGACTTAGGGACACAATTGACATGTGTATTTATATCTGTCTCGAGGTACATGAATCTTAGGTTCTAATACTCGCTTCTTCTTCTGCAGATAAAAATCATTATCAACTCTTTCCACTGGCAGCCAGAATAGTCTTGATACTTCTAACTAAAGGTGCAGTTTTCATTCATTATTTTCACTCTGTTTTATCCAGTTCCTGCCTGAGTCAGCCTACATACGGAGCTGTCTGGGTCGACAACGGCCATTTCAGTAACATCATCGTCAATCCCAAAATGCTGAGTGATCACATGCCTGACGCAGTAATGAAGGCCTTGGACCAGCTGGTACAAGTACAGGCAAGAGGACTGCAGCCTTTCCTGCAGCGCCGCAGCCAGCCTGTTGTGTAGGAGAAAGGACTGCAGTCTGTTGTGCAGGAGAGATCTGCAGTCTGTTGTGCAGGAGAGATCTGCAGTCTGTTGTGCAGGAGAGATCTGCAGTCTGTTGTGTAGGAGAAAGGACTGCAGTCTGTTGTGCAGGAGAGATCTGCAGCCTGTTGTGTAGGAGAGATCTGCAGTCTGTTGTGTAGGAGAAAGGACTGCAGTCCGTTGTGCAGGAGAGATCTGCAGTCTGTTGTGCAAAAAAAGAGAGATCTGCAGTCTGTTGTGCAGGAGAGATCTGCAGTCTGTTGTGTAGGAGAGATCTGTAGTCTGTTGTGCAGGAGAGATCTGCAGTCTGTTGTGCGGGAGAGATCTGTAGTCTGTTGTGCAGGACAGATCTGCAGTCTGTTGTGTAGGAGAGATCTGCAGTCTGTTGCGTATTTGTTGCAGTAAAGTTTGTTTACAGTGCAGCACATATCTCTGTATGTACCTTGTATGTATAGAGGAAACTTCATCAACACAAGACAAGTACAGGGGCTTTCTTAAGGTCCTCTACAACCATAGATACACAAAAAATGGATACAATGATTTCAACATAGTAATAACAAGGTATATTGCGTACATGTATATCAATACATTAGACGTATCTACCAGTTGCAGCTCATAAGATCTTAACATTTTCTAATAGATTTATGTACATGTATTTGCACATTGTAAGGATTGTCTACTTGTAAAATATAATTAAGTTTATCTGAAGATAAGAATTATGTCCCTGCAGCTGGTTTTACCTACTGAAGACAGAATTATGCAAAAAAATGCAGTAAAAGTAGACTGAGGAAAAGTTATTTTGAAGGATCTATGACTGTGTATGTGTATGATATTGTAGTTTGAACATTGACATTTGGTTTGTTGATTTGATTGGATATTGTATAATTATACAAATTGTACACTATGTAACAGATGTTATTGTTACCAAGTGTGTATATACTTGTACAGGGAATTATGACATGTTTGGGTTTCAAATCTGTACTGCCTTGTAACTTCATGCAGCAAGGTTTTATTGAATGATGTTTTGCCTGAAATGAGTTAGAAACCAGACACCTTTACAATGTTGCTGTAGCAGAAAAAAAATGTTTTCTGGCAGAAAAAAATGTTTCCAAAGTTTTTACTCATCATCAGAGTGTGTTTATTTATTTGTCTATCTATCTATCTATCTGTCTTAGTGTACAAGATACCCAATACAGTATGAATGGATTGATACCAGGTGTCCGTGTAGCGGTGGGTCCAGGTGTCCGTGTAGCGGGTGGGTCCAGGTGTCCGTGTAGAGGGTGGGTCCAGGTATCCGTGTAGCGGTGGGCCCAGGTGTCCGTGTAGCGCGTGGGTCCAGGTGTCCGTGTAGCGGGTGGGTCCAGGTGTCCGTGTAGCGGGTGGGTCCAGGTGTCCGTGTAGCAGGTGGGTCCAGGTGTCCGTGTAGCGGGTGGGCCCAGGTGTCCGTGTAGCGGGTGCGTCCAGGTGTCCGTGTAGCGGGTGGCTCCACGTGTCCGTGTAGCGGGTGGATCCAGGTGTCCGTGTAGCGGGTGGATCCAGGTGTCCGTGTAGCGGGTGGATCCAGGTGTCCGTGTACCGGGTGCTTGGGGTCGTTCAACTGTTTTCCCGCTCTGCCCTTGAGGACATCTCGTCGGATACCACAACTGCACGTAACCACATCCCTAAGTATCACAGAAGAGCAGCTGTGCAGAAAATCTGGCTTTCTACCAATGAATCCTCGGAAGACTTTGAACTTAACTGGAAGGGATTTTATATCCCCACAGCACGCACCACATAACAAAACACGTGTCCTGCAATATGTTGGGATTAAGCTATGAACGTAACACTTAATAACCACGCGCAAAGCGACATTTAAGATAATGCTTGTAGTTAGAACCATACAAAGTCTATAAGCCATAAATGGTGAAGTGCTTTGCGTTTGGGAATTAGCGAATTTCGTCTCATCGCTGTAATTTTCCCAGAATTCCGTTTCATCGCTGTCATTTTCCCAGAATTCCGTCTGAGCGCTATCATTTTTCCAACGCCGTTACAATGTGGTTGTTTGATCCATAAACTTTTCATTCATTCATCGATGTATTATGAAATGTTGAACGGGCCGATTCCCTGGCAGTCCACCACATGCTCAATATCAACATTAAAGTCATCCACAACATCACTCCCGACTGGACAAGTGATGTTCATCCTCTGAGTACAACACTGAGAAGTCAGAACACAGTTACAATATGGCAGACTGACGAGCTACATTGTGTGGCCTTGCTGAGGTCGAGGTTACCGAAGCTCCAGAAGCTGAGGGATAAAAGAATGCGTACTTAGTAAATACTTAATCCTTTTAGCTCCCGTCGGAGCGTAAGGCCACAGCAAGTAATTTTTTATGGATTATCAGCGCGCGCATTGATTTTCACCTGATTTGGGGGAAAAAAATTTGTTGCCTTCTGAAAGTGGTCACCATGCCGAAAATGGACAAAGATGTCTGTTGTCATGCCGGAAGGTGGATGGCAGATAACTATGAAGAGAGGAGACAAGAAAAGGCTCTGATTTAATGTTTTGTTTCTTACTTTGATTCAGTGATATGTGATGCTGGCTGTGTATATGCGTGTGATGTTCCCACTGAATCAAAACCATTTGTACCATGATTCAGTCAACATTTTAAAATGTAGGAACCTTGTTTTTTCGGCCCGCCTTGTTTTTTTCGCCCGCTCGCATTGGATTTGGAGTCTGCGGTGGATGTTATCCATAAAATTGACTTGCTGTGGCCTAAGGCTCTGACAAACTTCTTCCAGCCTCTCCGACCTCATGCCCGGTCTTTTGGGCTCGCGGCCTTCCATTTCTTTTCCACCGTCCTTCTCCCCAGGGACCTGCGGTTTCCTTGGGGAGTGAGGGCGACATACGGATGTCTGTTTTGTTCGGTGCGGGCATTGCAGGCTCCAATCCTAAGATTTTTGGGTTTTGCCAAAGAATCCATCAGATTGGAAACTTGCTCTCGGCTAGCTTTCGTCTACACTCCCGAGATTGTGTGGCTTTTTAACTTTGTCAGTGTCTCAGTAGCAAGCTGTTTAACATGGCGGGGTGCCTCCCAGCGCAAAACCCTCTCCCGGGTTTACACATCCAGGCTTGGGTACCGGCCAGAGCGGAGTGTGATCCTCCATTTAGCGACTATCCAATTTCCACTCCCTCTTTCGAGGTTAATGTAGTAGTAATGTTGTACCTTCCCCGAGACTAGGAAATTCAAGCCCTCACTCTAGCCTCCTTCGCAGACTTGTAGGGCGCGGCGTTGTTGTTTTTTTTCGTTGAGCGACAGGATTTTTGCCGGGAGAGACGGTTTCGCTGCCAAACCGTCTCTCCCCGGCAGAACTCCCTCGGCGGCAAAATCGTCCCTCCGCGGCAAAACTCCCGTCGCTCACAACAAAAAATAACGCTGCGCCTTACAAGTTTGCAAAGGAGGCTACCTTAACTCCACGTCAAGGTAAGAGGATGAGAATACAGGTGTTTGAACACGAGGGGGACAAGGCAGATAAGGTTTCCATCTGAGGAAATTAGCAAACTGCGGTGCGTCCCTCGTGACACCCCGCTATAGGACGTACAGGTTGCCGATAGGGAGAATGTCTGCTCCGCATCACCAGGGGAGAGATACAACACCTGCGGCGTCTTCACAGACCAGAGATATGACGACGGCTTTTCCAAGATTAGCGTGTACCAGAGTGTTGCACTTGGGCCATTTTTTCACGTTTCACATTTGACCACTTTCAGTAAAGAAAATCAAATTGTACTACAAATGCTAGCATTCATGATGCGTTTTAGATTGGATAACAAGTAGTTTAAACTTTGGCATGCTTGCTTCATAATAGGCAGTCCTATTGGCAATTATAGGGGACACAAGAAGATATTTTGTTACAAAATGTTAAAAATGCAATTTTGATAAAATACTATTAATGGTACTCTAGTATATCTGGGAAAGGCGATTTATATAAATATATAAATTGGAAAGGGTACAGAATCAAGCTGCAAGATTCTGTACAAATAACTGAAAGGGATGTAAGTGTCACGGAAATGAACGAAACCTACAGTGGGTGTCACTGGAAGATGTCCAGACTATGGATGATGTATAAAATGCCTAAGAAACTAGTAGATGTTCCAGCTATTAAGTATCTAATACCAGCTCAGAAAAGAACAAGAAATAGCCATAACTTCAAATACCTGAGCTATCAACCAAGAATTTAGGTGTTCAAAAACTCATTTTCCTAGAACTATCGCAGAGTGTAATCTCCAAGAAGATCCCTTTTGGTGGCAAAAAGACAGTATCAAATTGGCCAGGCTGTATCCATTAGCCAGAGAAGGTCGCCAGCCACCGACGGGTGGGGGTAGCGACAAAAAAAACGGCCATATATAAAAAGGTAACGATCATTCCCCACAACCTCTGCTTGGAGGGTGCGCAGAGTAGAACTCGTTGTTACCAAGTACAGTAAGTAATTACTTGTGATCACCAGATTTTAACAATGTTTAGAGTTAGGTGTTGGTTCAAAGGTTTGGTGTAAAAAGGCTTTCGGTTTAATTTAGCCAGTTGGCACCGCGCCGCGTGCCTGCGAAGCTGGTGTGTTACGCCGAGGGGCGGTTATACCGGCTATACAGATACAGAAGATGGTGTGTTACGCCGAGGGGCGGTTATATCGATAGAGATACAGATATGCAACAGACCCTCTGCTATCAAAGCATCATAAGGAGAATATGTCCGCCCAGATGGCAGGGATTGCCCTGGTCCATCGACCAGCGACATTGCGACCCTGGCAGCGGTTTACGTAAGCACCATTATGGTGTTCCTTTTCCACGAGAAGTTTGTTGGCTTTAAATTACGTACAAAACAGAAGTAATTTCAAATGCTAACGGTGACATTAGATAGATATTCGGCTACATCCCGTAGGTAATTTTCTGCATACAAAGAAAATAACGGGTCAATGACTCCTTCCGACCCATAACTATGCTTTGACGCAATCTATTACGAAAGCACATCAAAAGCGATGAGTTATAAGTGATATCTATGCCTGGATACGTTTACCCTTAATTAATGATAATCTCGTATCTCCTCTGCATATCTTGTAAAGGTAATACTTTTGTTGCCAACAAACTTCAAACTCTACATGAAGAATGTTGCCAACGAACTCCAAACTCTACAAAACGCTTCAGTTGTATGTGTCCTGCAGAAACAAAACACTTCTAGTTGTATGTGTCCTGCTATGCTTTCCTTCTCTTCTGGGATGGGAGGTTTGACTCATGCTATCCATAGTTTTTCAAATATCTTAATACCTTTTGTCCATTGTAAAAGTGGCTGCGAGAATATAAGTTGTACCTAACTTCAGTTCGCAGTCACTTAGTCCATGTCCTTTTATTTGTATTCATCACTGTGCTTCTGATTAAACAACGTCTACAAGAAGAAAAGGTAGAAAATGCTCCACGGCGACGTTTTCCCATTTAATTTACCTTTTAGTTCCTTTATCTCCGCTGGAAGGCAGGTTTCCTAGAACCGGCGGCATGCCGGTAATCGCGACGTCACATGTGGGGGCCCGGCAGGATATCGCGGCACCGCCTGGAGAGCTGAGTAAACTTCAGGATCAGGTGCCGGGGAAAACCTTTGATCTCCTACGCAAGTCTTGTCACCGCGAAAGGCATAAATACTTGGCGGAGCGACGTGAGGACAGAGAGAAGTTGCGACGCCGTAGCAAGTGTACCTCCCAACTAATAGGTGAGTAACGCTTTTCTGTCTCTAGTACTGCTGCCACTGCGCGACCACCTGTTAAGCTAAGGTCCCAATTGGGAAAAGGGGCCCTGGCGGGTAGTTCCCGGGCTGTTTTTTACCACTTTCGGGCGGGACCCCGACGTGGCCCCGCGGGGCACCCTGCGGCTACCGGGCTATTTTTTGGCCCGTCGGGGCCCCGAGAAGAATTTAATTCTGAGTTAAATTCTACCCGGGCCCCGCTGACAAAAAGACGCCGTGACCTCATCGTGAGAACACCGAGAGGTACCCCTCCGGTTGCCGGCATTCCACCGGGACACATTTCTTACGTCACAGACCAGATGAACAGAATAAAGGTGTGTACTTCGTAAACCCGGGTAAAATGTGTGACCTCACAGATCAAATGATCACAACAAATACGTGAATTCTGCATTACGTATAGGTCAATACAAGACATCGTCAGAGAATCTGCTGGGTACCTGCCGGGTGCCTGCCGGATACTGACCAAAGAGGGTGACAAAATTTCTAACAAAATGCTACTGAAGGAAACTTTTAATTGTGACCACGACAGCCGATGCCCGCTCGACTCCTGAACCCGGCCGGAGCCAGCCGGGGCTACATCCCTGACGGGCACCGGCGTAATTGGGACCTTAGCTTTAGAGAAAAGTGCCCTGTCACACATAGCTAGCCTCCACCAGGCTTCGGGAGGGGGCTGGAAAGAGTAGAGATCGGTCAAAAAGAGAGATAACATGCCGAGGGAGTTGGTCCGCTAGCCTAGAGAGTACATTTCAGGAGCCGCAAACTGTTCTCTCCAGCAGGCATGCTATCACTGAGTCTATTTGGCCGATTTCTACTCTTTCCAGCCGCTTTCCGAAGCCTGGTAGAGGCTAACACATAGCCGAATATGGCCTCCTGAACACTGCCCAACTCACCCAACTATGGTCGGCTGGCCGTTCAGCGAGGTCGGACACTGTTCGGCTGCGCCAGAAAAGTGTTTTAAAACGTTTCAAACATTCGGGAGTGAACGGGGATTGAGCCATGGTTAGGTACTGGTTGGCTGGTGCTTGGTATTAATATTTGACTCAAATTTAGTTTAAATTCGATTCGATTCGTATTGAAAGTTAGGCCTAAACCTGGCCACGCTGCTCCCGAACCTGAGCCAACCTTTGGTGGGTTTTCGGGGATAAGTTCCGGTAAGGTCCTGAAGGTTCAAGACCTCAAGTCAACACTGGCTGAACGGCGATTGAGGTTTGTAGTGTTGTAAGCAATGCTGGCTGTACTAATACAGTGTATATCCATTTCAGCCAAATTCAAACTTGTTTTATAACCAAAAGCAAGGACTCAAGATGGTGGGGATTGTTCTGTAGTATACTTGATACCTAAAATTATGCTTGAATATGTGAAATAGAAATGGGAATAAAACCCCAAACTCTTGGAAAATCTTTTGGTAGTATTAATATAAATCTAGACGTCTTCTAGCTGTGACGTCAACAAATATTTCCTTTTTTCCATGTTCGCGCCACACAATAAAGGACATTTCCATCTCTAATTAAGTTTTGTATGGTCTGTCTAGTAGCCAATATGTTGTCTCTTCTATTACTGCTCTAAAGTCAAAGCCAAAGACGACTTGGCGCTAGCCTCTATCAGGTTTCGGGAAGCGGCTGGAAAGAGTAGAAATTGGCCGAATTATCAGGTAACATGGCAGGGGAGTTTGTTCGCGAAAGAGAACAGTGCTTTCTGTCAGTTTGGCCAATTTTTACTCTTTTCAGTCGCTTTCCAAAGTCTGGTACGGCTAACTTCAAGATGAAGCGAGACCCTTAGACATGGCTGTTTTGTTCTCAGCAAGGATTTCTGTGTAATGTCCTTGTTCTCAGGTTCTTCTACGACCCAGACCAGGCATATGAAGATGACGATGGTGTTGAGTGTGTTGGCGTCCTCTGCGGTAGTGTTGATGTTACTGTGCTGTGTGACGGCGGCTCCAGCAGGCCAGTCCGCCAGCCAGCAGTACAGGTGAGGCGTAGGACAAGTTGTGTTTGCAATAGGGATTCACTTTTGTTAAGGCGCGGTCACATTTTCCCAACCCGGGGCCCGGCCGGGCAGTCGTATGGAACGAAAATTATAATAAAGACAACAAAGCACAAAAAAGTTGAAAAATTAAGAATGGGTATATATCTGCGATTCTGCGTATATTCTTGAAATAAATTGTTGATTTTTCGTTAATCGAAACAGCGCGGCCGGGCCCGGTTTGGAAATGTGACCTC